TTTGGTCATAATTTATGTTGACAGTTAGTCGAATATCTGTCTTGTATAATTCATTCCTTCAAATATCAACTGGTGTTTCAGCATGTAGGGGTAGCATTTATTTCTCGAGGCACACAAAGCCGTCTCGAAAAGCTAGTGAGTTCAACTTTTATCGTGATGCTGCTGAAATTGTCGAAACCTCATTTGCTGGGGAAAACTTTGAGGAGTCAGTGAGTGCACTGAGACACGCGAAGTTAGTCGAAAGGCGGAATCACAAGTTTTTAGTGCTTAAAAGGAAGTATTCTAAGTATGTTTGGTTTAATACTAGGTTTTTGACTGAACCAGTAATCCTGTAGAGTTGTCTGTACTAACATGGAGGGCAAAGGAGCAGGTCGTGTTCTTGCTGAGTGATGACGAAGGTATGGACTTTGAACAAATATCCAAGTCGTTTCCAATAACCCCACAAGGTGCTGAAAAGCTTTTTGGGAATAAATCGTCACCTATTTTACAAAAGTCGGGGGATATCAGTTGGCTTTTAAAGCACGATTCTCGCGTTATTGAACGCTGGAGTCATTTGCTCTCGTTCTTTAGCCGGATTTATCGTGGAGGGGAGGATGTTTCGGAATCTTCTGTTGTTGGCATGATACCTAATGGTCTAGCGTGGTTATGTACAAACGCGAAAATGAATCTTTTAATGTACGCAGACGGAAACCCTGAACTTCCTTTTCCGAAAAGACATGATAAAATTGTGAAAAAGGATCATTCATATGGTCATTTTGAGATGTATGCTGCTATGTTTAATAGTATGCCTAAAGATGAACTTTGTGATAAGCATACGCAACATGTTCTCAATCTTCGTAAATTTGTCGAAACTTTTCAGAAAATTAAAAATTCTCCACCCCAAAATGTCCCATTTTCAAGTGACCATCACTCTCCACGGCTTTACAAATATTTGTTAAGTTGTGCAACTGCTGTTAACTCAAAATGTAATAATCAAAAATCAATTTCTCTTCCAAATACTGTAAAGCTTCGTGACTACTACACTAGTCAAAAAATAAAATAGTTTTTCTCGGGATGGTGTTTGTTAATGTCTTTCTGTCCATCAAATAATGTTTACATCACGAGTAAGTTCTGGGATAGCTGACTTGCATCCTGTTGCAGCAATCTGATGTATTTGGTGAACACCATCTATATGACTTTGCAAAAGCGTGTTTGATGTCCATTTTTGTAACTGATGCGTCATTCTTTCTGGTAAATCAGGTAAACGCGTGTACAGAAAAATATGAGTTCTTTGACTCTCCTCATTGTCCACGAATAAGTGATTGCTGCAAGCGACATCCTTATCAGTCTGTTGTGCTGTATTTAATATTTGTTTAATGCATACAAATGGTTCACTAGTTTTAGTTACTCATAGGAAAACCAGTATCGAATTTCAGAACTTGCTTGTCGCTTTCATGATATTATTATTATTTAAACATAAACATTGGTACAATGGGGCACCAAATGGACATACACTATGTAAGTCGTTCTATTTGTGTGAGGGCTAAGATATTGCCCAGGTACCCAAATCGAAGCAGTTGGTTTTCTTAGGGGCCACTCTGAGCCTTTGACTTAAAGGTCTGGTCCACAAGGCCGTGGAGCAACGCAAGGAGATGCAGTTCCATGGTATACGGTTCATACGCCATTACTTTCCTTCGGATCCTGGAGCCCATCTACACCATCTGTTTGGAGTCAGAGTTTTTCAACTCCCCTAGGTAGATCCTCCGCATCCACCAACCGGGTAAAACGTCGGACATTCGATTTTCGTCCTCTCAATTTTGTAAACACCGCTGCAAGAAGGCAGTGAGAAGGACTTCTTTGGCACTGGCTATAAGCACGTGGCCATGTGAAAGCATTACGAGGGAGATATTTATTTATTTTAACACATAGATATCGGTACAAGGAGGCACCAAATATATATGCGCCACACAAATCTCATTTGATATGTGTGAGGGCTGTGATACTGCCCGGGTGCCCAAACCGAAGCAGGTGGTTTTCTTAAGGATCCACACCCCGAGCCTTCAACCTGAAGGTCTGGTCCACAAGGCAGTGGAGCATCGTAAGGAGATGCATTCCCATGGAAGCCGGTGACCAACGATTGGTTCCTACGCCATTTGTTCCTTCAGGATACTGGAGCCCATGTGCACATTGGTTTGGAATCCGGTTAAAGCGATGGACATTCGCTTTTCGTCCTCTCATTCTCGTAAACAACACCCCCGCCACAAGAAGGCAGTGAGTAGGACTTCCCTGGCAGAGGCTATATACGCGTGGCCATGTGAGAGCATTTCGAGAGGGAGAGCAGACTCTCTACTCTTGGCCATAATATGGCATTTGGGGGCAATCTTTGATATAAAATCTCGCTGACGGTTTAGTTCAATGGCGCCCACGGAATCTGTCATAACTAATTAAAAAAAACCTTAATTTGGTGTTCTGACTTACTGATTTTCTTTGGTTGTTTTTTTACCATCTCCTCTATCTTGAGAACCAAGCTTGACTAGTTAATTTTCAGTTACTACTATTTCCGTCATTTCTCAAACAGTAGAATGATCATAAGTGATATTCATGTTGTCTCTAATTTCCACACGTAGGTAGGTAGGTATTAGGTCAATCCGCTGAAAATGTGTGGCATTTTTCATCCGATGAAAATATAGTAGATTGAGTGAGTTTCCAACCTACAACACATGTTAAAGATGGGATGCCTAAGACCCACTCTAGTTATTGTATTCTTACATAGGCCCGTACACATCGGTCAAGTTCCCGGCTGATTTATATTTTAATTTAATAGCTATCGTTTAAAGCGTCTAGAGACGAACCTTCAGAACATTTGCCTTTTTTAGTCCAATTCTTTCAAAGCTTTTATGATAGTAATAGTGACATAATGTTAATGCTCCACTCAAAGTGTTGGTTCAGTGCCCTATTGAGTCGTTTAGACATTAAAATTTTCTGTTCTTTTAATATTTCAAGCTACTCTCCTCAAGAGTAACTTACTTTTTCCAGAGGCAATTCAGTTAAACGTTGCTGCTTAGGCACATACATGAGCAGTCCGAAAAGTCCAAATAATCAGTTGTGTCACTTAAAGATTGGGTAAATAGGATCATTGGCTTTATGTTTGTTTCCAGGATAATTTAATAAAGTTCAGTGCGCCTGACAGAATCTTAGCATTCCATTCTTTTTCGCGGTTTCTGGAATTCCACCTTGCATCGTTTTCGAAGACTATATGTGAAGATAAATTTTAGTAAACTAATGGCGTCAATTTTCTTATTAGTCATAGATAGAAAATAGGAAAAAATAACAGAAATCATGGATTTATAAAACCAGATAAGTACATATGTACTCAAATAATTGCTTTTAGTCCCCAGACAACCTTACTGTTAGTGGAAAACCTGAAAGTGTGGTTCTTAGGGTCTGATTATGCACATCAACAGAGAAGCTAGCTATGGTACAAGTTCTTTTCAAACCATCTTCAGGCATTAAGACTTCGATAAATGGCCATCTATATCAATATAGCGCAATTAATTCCCGGTGGTATATAACCTCGGCCACCACATTAAGGCAGCGGTTATCTGTCTAGAGTATTGATCTGAACATACTATTTCTAAATACGGGTTCATGAACTGAAAAACGTTTCAAGTATATTTTTCTAAAAAGTCCCACAGTTCTAGTTTTTTCGGTGCTGGCAGTGACAGTATAAAAACCTAATTGTTGCTGAAATTCGTTTTCTTGCATCTACCTACCATAAAACCGTATTCATCACAAAATTCCACTGGTCCCTAAACATCTTCGGATTTCGTATGATTGTCTACATATTTCTTCACCTCAGCTGGTGCAAATAAAAAAATGCAGTTTGCCAGTGTTTCAATTTCAGGCAAGATAGCAGTTAGTTATTAGTAAAAGCCTGTTCCGCATTTTACATAGCTTTGATAGTACTTTTTTAAACTCAGCTCAACAGTTCGTAGTTTGCCAAGACATACTAAGGTACGTTACACAGGACTGATGTATGTCGAAAGCCTTCATTGAATATTCTGTCTAACGTTAGCAGCTGAGATAGTTTGAAATTACTTTTAAGGATTGGTTTTAAATGCTATCGTCGTTAGAGGTCATGAAGAATGGTACAGCATCTGTGATTGGGAATAATGGCCAGATTTTCGATTCATTGGGTAAATTTAGCCATATAAATGATACTGATTGATGGGACTGCTGGTTACACGCAGTCAGTGATTAGAGATTTCATAAATATGTGGAATGGACTTTCCACGATTATATATTCTTTCATCACTTATCTTAGTTGAAAGTTAAAGATGTGAATAATTTTTGCGGTAATTTCGCAACAATTCTGATTTATGTAGTCATCAAAATATATTCAGTGGTTTTTCTGTTCTTGACTTCTCAAGAATTGAGATCCCGAAAAAGCTGGTCGAATTTCGTTTTATAACGAAGAAAGTGTCACTTTACCATAAGAAGGTTACTAGAATACAATTATCGGCGATTTTGTAGCACCTATTGTGTGTATCTAAAAAATCAACGGTGAAGTCATAATAGGACTTCACCTGAAGACGGCAAATCAGTAGATGAAGCCAGATGTGAGTTTATTACCTCACAATCGAGTTCTAAGTGCTTCAAACTTTTGTACTCAGCCGTTAAGTGAAAACGAAGTCCGTTTAATGTCTAAAATACAAAGTACATATCTCGCATATATTATGTGTCTAGATTCTTTTATGGTCAGTGAGGTCATTTTAGTTTCCTTATAAATTTTATTATAACTATTTATCAATAAAAATAGATGGTACATCAAATATTTCAGGAGAAAGGCATAATCTAATCTCCAGATGAATTCTATTCTCACACTCTTAATTACGTCTTATTTTATTGCGCCTTCAAACAATAGAGAGAATTTAGTTATAATGTGAATTATTTAAACCGAACTATCATACTGATGTAAACGATCTGGATCTTCGATCTCCAGGATCTACTTAATCTTGAACATGAGGTAATTTAAATTTCGATGAACAATATATGCATTTGATCAGTTGTACCTTTTTTCTGCATATATATATATATATATATATATATATATATATATATATATATATATATATATATATATATAATTCCATGCGGTATTGTAAGGGTTTTACTGTCCGTACTTTGATTACTCTAACTCTATATTTAACTTGGATTGATCTACTTAAATAAACATCGAGAATCCCCTAGGTTTCGAAGACATATTTTCCATCAAGCGAATAACTGAATTTCCGTCGGTGGTTACATAACTTCACATTAATTTACAATACTTGCGAATCCTTTACTACTCAATATCATTCAATGATTTGTTCTGAGATATCAGTTTTAAATATCAAATAAAGACTAACTTTTCTATTTCACTTTCAGTAACCCTTGGCCAATCTTTTGTGAGGACAGGAACTAAAGTTTTAAAGTGGTGACTATGCTTAGGAATCGCACAATATACAAGATATCATAATTATCATTACAGAGGTTTAATGTGGTACTTTAAAGTAATTTGATCATTGGGTAGATTGTTAGTAATAAAAATAGTGATATGCTCTTAATGTCACAATAAATAAAAATTTAAGTTCCTGAAGTTTTACGACTTATTTTAAGTAAGATTTTCAAGACGAATTAATAACTAAACGTATTAAATTAACGCAAGTTTAAATATCTCAGGGGAACAAAGAGAAAATATTTAGTGTAACCAAACCACATCTCACGCCATCAACCTACATTGAAATTCAATTCTACTCTTCCACACTATAAATATTACATTTTTACACCCTCATTAACGTACAAATTACTTTTTAGTCGTAACATCCGCATTATTTTTATTTAAGCAATTTTATTTACATTTGAAATATTCCATCAAGAAATTCTTTTTATATAATCATGTAATCTTTTATCTGATCAATAGCTTTCTTGGAATGTGTGATATCGGATATACACTCAACTGAATTTCTTTTCAAATAAAGCTGACATCATTAACTAAAAATTATACTAACGTAATTCTATATTTTGTCTTTCTCTATGAAGGGATATTTACACAGCTTCGCCTGGGCTTCCTCAGGATTTATCATGTCGTAAACAATTCGTATTAAAAAATGAATCCCAAAAATTACCGGCTATTCAGGAAGATTCAGAAGCATGTTTACCTCCAATTGCTACATTTAGCCATCATGTACGATTTTCCTCTTCGTTTAAAATGATATAACTGTTAATCAAGTTTATATAAATATGGTTTTTATTTATTACTAGTTTTAGATATGATACAGTTAATTTTTAGATAAAAGTTGAAAGAATATCAAATGTCTTATTCAAATTTATTTAAAAATGAACCAGAAACAACGTCTTACATGAACACATCATCTTAACCCTTTACTTCTCAGTTTGGTTATAGGTTAAACAATCTCACGAACGTATTTTTCCAGTCCTTAAGTTCAAATCCTATCAGTAATTATAAATAAGTGAATGTAATTTTATCTTTCATTTAATACTTAAATGATAGACCTTGTTTATACAAATACATTTTGAAGATTATTGTTTAGCTTGAAACTGACTTCCGTTTTAAATTCATATCATGTAAAAAAAACTATTGAAAACCAGGAAACACTAGACAGCGGTATCTTTCTAGTTGGAGACTTTAATATCGCATATCCACCCCATGTAAAATCGATCCCAGGAGTTGCATATTTCGCTACCATTACAATATATTTATGATCATTTGAGTGTATTTAGTGATTTCCAATCTAAGACGTAAATTGCTGTTCAGTCCTCCTTAGTTTTCAGTGGTTCCCTAGTGTTATTATTTTCTATGGAAAATTATAGGCATCCTGTTCTAATCCCTTCACAATTCACCTTAGTGGATTATTATTTATTTCTGAGAAATTACTGAATGAGAATTAATGTAACTGAATTTTATGCGTGATATACTGATGAACGTTTCATAAAATGAATATTGATCATGCATATTGCTTTATTCGTTTCTCTCCTAATGCCTCACAGCGACAAAACCGTACTGGTCCTTGTTCCTCCTACGTTGGTAAGTCAGTGAAATCGGTTGGTCGGAAGCATCAAAAGCAATCAAGATCTAGACGTGCTGAGAATAAACTTTACTGCAATTGGCCACAATGTCCGCGATTCCTTCTAAAGCAGCCTTTTAAACAAATGTAACTATTTGTATATATTAAATAATCCTCTTCTGGGAATTTATGACTGTCAAATTGTTTTTTAGAAAATGTATAAACCCTGTACAGCTTTTAATCGATGGTATTTTCCCTACCACTATCGATTTCATTGTTATTTGCATCAATGACATCACTATATAGCTATAAATGGTCCATAATGTTCTGTATAAGAGCTCTCTATCGGATCCAGCACTTGATGTTTAGTTCTATTCAGATACTTGTTATCTGCACATTTCGATATCCTAATATATGTGTTCTTTATAATACCATAACTCTATATACATCGCTTCAAACAACAGGGTATTATTGTCTACGGTTCTGAATCGTAATGGTTACCAACGTGTTTATTCATAATGGTCTGCGCTTTCTTATTGAGGATATTCGGGACTAGATCGATCAGTTTATGTTGACATTAAAAACGATGATGATCATCATAAAATATTAGTGGGACATCATTCTGCCCTAGAATTATGTTATTGATGAGTCTCAGATGGAACGAAGTCAGTTCCATGGTCTACAGCAAAATATTACAAAATTTGCATATTTAAGCAGTGTTAAGATACCCACCTAAAACTCTATATGACATCTCTTCAGCCCTTAATATTAACAAAATAAAAGTTAAACACTTAAACTTATGTATAACTTATGTATAGTCCTGTAGTCAGTGGTTTAATCAGTTCACTTTGCACATAAGTTGCAAATAATCTTTGGTTTTCCATAATCACTTTTAGGTTGAACGTATATAATATTATCACTAAGCTGTCAAATATTTTTTACTCAATATTTTTATTTTAAAACCAAGTTTATATGATTTCTGGTTCGAATCGGTCCATGTTATAGTCGGATACAAGTGTGTTACACTCACCACATTTTGAATTGAAGAAAAAGTGTTTTCAATTTTGATAATTTCCAGGACGACAAATAAAGTTCTCAATTATACCACTCAACTGTGAGAACAGGATACTACGTAAATCTGAAATACGGCCGGATTCTGTAAAGAAGAGTGCTAATTACGGAATATGTCATCTATTAATAAGTATTTTTATAATGTCTTCCGTTATAAGCTTATTTTTAATTAGATAAACAGGTATAGAAAATATAGAAAATAGCTATTGTTTACCTCTGTCAAAAATTCATCTATCTAACCATTGAGACTGGCTTTTATTTATTTTTGGAAAGTTGAGTTAGTTCATCTAGTATCTCACTGATTTAATTGTTGAAAATATTTATATCTATCTACAAAAACATACAGTTCAGACATTTAATACTTGTTACATTCTTTCACCTTAACTTTGTGAAATTCTTATGTCGGTTTAGCCCACATTTAATCTTAAGGGTCGAATTTATCATTACTTATACTTTGTGACATTTTATTCTAATGATAGATAAAATAATTTTTATCATAAACTGATATTGTACAAAGTACGGTTAGAAACAATTGAACATTCGAAAGCTATTTCACTCTTCTAGGGATTCCTCAAATGTATGCACAATCTACTCTTCATGAGATTGGACAGAAGAACCCTCAGATTTCATGATAATACATTCAAGCTATTGAGTGGGAATTCAGCTACTTACTTTTGGTTAATTTATTCTGATCACTGTTTAGTGTTATTGTTGTATAACTATTTCACTTCCAATAACATCGACTATACCATTCCTAGCTCCTCTTTAGGTGTTCGAGAAATTTGTGTTACAAAAACAGTCACTGATGAGGATATAATCATTTATTAGTTAGTCTGGTAGAAACTTTACTCAAATTTAAATAAGTTTCCATAAACCTCTATATTAATCAAGAAATTCCTAATTTTGACAGTGAATTTCATTCATTCTTTATCTATTCAAGGACTCATTTGAAACGTCATTTACTTTTACATAAAAATCATCTGAATCTATCGTGTTCACAGTGTGGAAAACGCTTTAGTTCGAAAGAAAATCTTAAAAGGCATACAAATGTACATTCAGGTAATTATTTATTTGTACACATATTATTACTCTCCTCCTTTCTGTATTGATGTATATGCAATATTTGCGCATACACAATCACTTTGCTTTGGAGAAAAATTAACTTGGTCTGGTCACCGATTAATTATTTTGTACATAGTTACTAGCTTAAATCCCCTAATATATGTTCATCTAATCATTCTGCTTACCAGTAATCCTTATCTTTGAAATTTGTGGGTCGATTCTGTAAGGAAATGATCATTTTGGTTGTTATAACTGCATATTTTATTGTCATCCAGTCTAGATTAATTGTACTATTATGTAACTTAATTAATTACCTCAATCTTATATTGCTCTGGGTGTATACTCTCATTTCTGCATAGGCTGCTTATACGTTGAATCAAAAACGATAAGGGAATCAGAAAGAAAGGGCCAAACAGATTTGATTGATTGATGATTGTTAGATTTAGTAGTGGTTTGGCTTATACCCTAGGTGTATTATAAATCAAGAAACATTGGACTGATAGTTCGTTCAAATTTTAAACTGTTCAACAGTACGCACCTTTTTCTTATGACTTTTAATGCACTAATGTGATTTTAATCTGGTTGAAAAGGTTGGGCTTATGAAGTGTTGATGAGAGCAGCTGTGATATATGCCTGTAAAGCCTAGCTACCCTTAGCGGAGGATGTTCGTTGACTCTCTGTATTCTGTCATTATTGTCTCCGAAGGATCGCCGACATCTAGTCTTAATACCTTGTCAGTAATACAGAGATTCGGCATCCTGAAACATTGGTTTCGGTGGTTTAGATATGCTTCATGAATGTTGTACTGGACGATCCTACATCGTACGTTGATTACTGATGTTAGGACTGGTTGGGAAACTATCGTGAGGTCAGTTTATGTCATGTAGCGGTTGTATGGGGGATAGAAGAGGGCTAGGATCTATCGACCCATCACGACTCTCAAGTTACGATCCTAGTGATGATGTGACTCAGTGGTTTGTGACTTTATCAGATACAGCTCTGAATGGAAGCTGGCAGTAATTCTGCTGTGGCTTTCTTTTACATTATACATGATTAAGAGAAACTCCCCTAATTGAAATAAACCTACTTTGATTGTATTTTTGACTGAACTTTATCTCCTATTATAATATGGTTCTTGTTCACTTATTATTTTTGTTGTGTTTCCTTTCAGCTTCATATTTTTTTATAATCTTATATCATTATCTTTGTAGCGCATACATTTTTAGTACCCTGATGCTCCAGATTTTTCGTATATTGGATAAAAATTATAATACTTCCCTGGGTAGTATTTGTTTGTCGTGAAAATTATCTTCTAAATATTTCTGTTTAGCAGTATTTAATGAATGTCTGCTTTTATTCTCTTAGGTTTAAAACCATATATGTGTTCAATTTGTCATCAAGCGTACTCTAGAACATCAGAAAGATCCAGGTGTATGAAGAAGCATCATTTTGAAGATAAATATTTATCTGAACAGGATAAACAATGTTTGTATAAAGATGTTTATAATGATTGGGATTCTTCTGGTTTATCTGCTTTACAAATCGAAGATAAAATTAATCAATCTCGTCCAAGACCATATATCTGTCAAATATGTAATGATCATAGAGCGTATACAGATCCAAGTTCACTTAGAAAACATATGCGCTCTTATCATGCACACTTGAAAGATGAAAAATCTATAACTAATAATGATTCTACCAATGAATCTGTTATGTCTAAATCAAAATTATCTGTATGTTTAAAATTAATTTGCAAATGTAACTTGTTTTTCACATTTCGGTTAGTTTTACCAAAAGCAAAAAACAAACAACAACTTGGTTTACATAATTTTATTTAAGTTGTACGTAACATTGTTTATTATTATTTATTTGAACACATAAATATTGGTACAAGAGGGCACCAAATATATATGCGCCACACAAAACAATGAGATTTTGAAGAGAAGAAGGAAAAAAAAGGTAAGGAGCGCAAAAGAAAAGGAAAGAAAAATAACGAACATATTAGTGTAAGGTAGTGTAATAATAATAATGGAGAAACAGAAACGTACAATCAGAAGAGATCTTTCAGTTAAGGAAGAAGTAATCACGTTTTATGGAGAAAGTTAAAGGATGTTACAGAGAGATCGCCACTGGCTTCTATTCTGAGCGATATCTGGTAACGTCTCTAGCCACTGTGTTGCACCATCTCTCGGACCCCAGCCAGGGAGTCGTGAAGGACCAACACAAGCCAGCCCTTTGCAGCTTTCTTTCATACCACGACACCATGTCATATACTGACCACCTCTCCGCTTTTTCCAACCAGTCCCAGAGTCGGCAAATAATACACGACGAGGAATTCTCTGGGACGACATTCGTAGAACATGTCCAAGCCACCGAAGTCGGTGTTTCAAGATGGTGACACCAATTGCATTATCGTTTCTGTGCCCGAACACACGTAACATTACATTTTTCTTGTTCACAAAATTATGTTAAAATTTGTAAACTTAATACTGAAATAATAAAGTATCTATCTATTAAATATAGAAATATTGAGAATGTGGCATGAATAAATCATGGAAAGTAGTGCATATTTCTCATAGAATGGTTATGGAACAGTTTGAACATTATGACTGTAAAAAATGGATTTTTACAACCCCACAGTTATTCATCATTTCATTAAATTATTTATTTAACATCTAACGTAATACTGACATATATGAGTTGCTAAAACTTATCACAAAATGAGTATGAATTCAAATTGATTGTATTTTATCAAAATAAATCTCTCCTTAAGTCTAAACTTGCCTTATAAATAGACAAAGAGAAAGTACTTATCAATTTTCGATTGTCTAGGCAACTTCAATTTCTAATATGCCATTGTGTAATTTCTCGTATTCGATTTTTTATGTGATCCTTAATCAGCATAAGTTACTAGTGGAAATTGTAATTAGATCTATAATTCTTATATTTATCACCTGGTTCACCTAATTAATGCAGTTAATGTTTACTTTCATAAAATTTATGTCTCTATCCTATTCTCAGCTTCTTTTGCGATATGTAATAAATTTTGCAAACAAGTTGTACTAATTCCACCATCCTTATTGATTTCATTTACTCTAAAGTTATATTTTTTGGCTGAGTTAGTAGTTTTTATTGCTTGACGGAAAATTTGTATAAAGTTGTTGTCAGGTAGAAGGGGGAGTTATTGACCCAGTAGCATCTTGCCACAATTATACATCTTGTTGTATTAATATTATTTCTGAAGTTGTATGAAGCTTTTTTTAAAATTTTCCATTCTAAACCAATTTAATATATAATTTGTTTGTTTATGTTTTGCATTACAGAAAACTCTTCCATGTGAAGAACCTATAAGTCTTGTACTCGCTAATTCAACCACTGATATAGACGCAGTTGATCCATCTCATTTGTCATTTGATAATTCATTCACTCCAGAATCTAAATCATTAATACTTACAAGTGAATCAGTTTGTCCTATGATTATTACTCCATATAATGTTTTAACAACGTCTATGACATCATCAGAAACACCTGTTACTACTAATGTTATGATTTCTTTTAATAAAGATAATAATAATAATGTTATCACGGAATCAAATATTTCAACAAATATTGTTACTACACCTAGGTATCATTTGTTATTAACGTCAGATTCTGTTGTATCTTCAACAATGATGACGGTGATTTCAATGACATCAACCACTACCACTAGTACTGCTACTACTACATTAAGAAATGAATATGATAGCGATGTTGCTGTGGATTTATGTAATTCAGCTTTATGCCTACAAGTTTATTCCGATAAAGTGAGTATTGAAATGAAAATTTCAATAAAATGTTTGTTGTTTTTCTTGAAGAAGTAGTAAACTTCATTTTCGATGACATATAATCAACCAAACAATTACAATTATATTCTTCTAACGATATTCTTTCTTCAAAACTGCCAAATCTGATCTTGCCTAATATTAACTTATTACTGACAACTTTTATCAGTAGTTAGATTTTAGTTTTTGAAAAATACCCATTAAAAAACAAATACTTATCTACTTATCAGGTAACAGTTTGAAATGTTCATACGATTTACCATTAAACCGTTTTATTTCATGAGAGCTTTCGATTTCACTCATCATACATTAGAGTTTAAAATTATGCAGTTTGAGTGGCTATAATCTTTTAATTTACTTTGTGCTGTTTGTTTGGATCTTCCTATTGATGTTGAGGACTTCAGTTGATTCGTCTTATTGGCATATATGCATCCTATGTGGATTGCATCGATATTGCCTTAAGTTGCGTCCTAGATTCCACTGCTAGCCACCATTCATCTTTACTTATAATGCTTGCGACTTATAACAATATCAAGACAATCCGCACAGGATGCAAATATTCCAATAAGACTGATCAATTTTGATCCTAAACATCAATGTGAAAATTCAGACAATAAAAAAATGAATTAAAACTCCACCCTATTACGCAAGGTAGTGGCTCCCAGGACTCAGTCGCGTAGTGGATAACGCGATGGCGTGTGAAGTGAACGGTACTGGGTCCGAGTGCCAGAATTAACATCAGCTCTGAGATGCAAGTACATCCAGATGAAGAGTCCCAAATAGGATGAGACGCACATCCTGGATTCCACTGCTAGCCACCATCCATCTTTAGTTATGATCCTTATTGTTGATAAGTAAGTCAGATTTGGCAATACATCAGTCAGCGATCAGTTCTAAAAAATGTAAGTGCCTAAAGGTTGTTAGAAAAGTGATGAAGTTTTAATTAAGTAAAAGATTCTTCATATAGCACAGAAAATCTTTTATGGTAACTTGGAAATTATTGCAACCATCTTGCATAGTGAGTTTGTGGTTCAATCATCTCGGCTTGCGACGATTGTGTTACGGGTTAATATGTCACTTTTTCTTGACTTTATATGAATAACGAGTTAGTATTGTAACTCATTCTACTACCACCCATGTGACTCTATTGTGTTCTACAGTTGTGAGATAAGTACTGTGAGCTAAAATTTACAGGGAATCGGTGAATGTCAAACAACAAACGACAACTACTCTTCACCTGTTGTTTGGTCACAGAGGTATTACGTAGGGAACGTCTGGTATTATTTTTTGCAAATGAGTTCTAATTATTTCCACAAAGTGCAATGTTATTTCACAACAACCTGTATTTACAGTTTGCTGTTGCTGACTTTGGAAAACAGAACAAAATAACATGTTACAAAACGAAGCAATAAGTGATGCAAGTGGGTATATCATTGTTGAAATTATGTGAGTTCTGTGTCTATAGAGACATTACAGTGCTTAGAAATATGGATCTTAATTTTGTTACAAAAATTATTTCTTATATCGACTTAAAGCTTAGCACATAAATCTGTCTATGGCTTCGAAAAATAACAATCAATGTAGTCTTTCTAAGTGGAAATAATAAAGCCTAAAGTTGTCTGTCATTCTTATTGTTTTTTCTGTGTATATGTCGATTATTGAGATTTCTTGTGAAAAATAAGAATAATATCTAGTCTATACAGTAACAAAGAAGTTTACATTGCAATTAGTTGCAACTATTTTATATGTAATGTGTCTTTTGTGCTGTCCCACGAAAAAAGAATGTAATCATACTTAAATTATGTGAAAGTGATTTATTGGTTAAAGAATTCAGTATTTAAATGTTATTGGTTTGAATTGCCCTCCAACTATTATCACTATGGCTTTAAAATAGAAAGAATAGGCAAAAAAATTATTTTTGTTTAGTCATCTGGATAGTGTCACTATGCGTCACATACATGAATGTTTACCTGTATACTGATTTTCATAGTTTATGGAAATAGTTCTTTTTTCTATTTTTCACTGTTAAAACAATCCTATATGCTTTCGATAATGATATTAGAAGACCTTTTATTTTTATATATAAATGCTCTTAACAAGTATATGTGTGACCAGATTGTTCGAAATGTATTGCGCTAATATATCACATAGTTCTGATAATCTTCGTCTTATAATATTATTATCGAAATCCTATATGCTTTTGGTTGGTCATATGAAATCTATATGAATCTTTGAACCTAGGTTTCATTATAATTCCCACTCATCATCAAGGCGTATGTACAACCTCAAGGGAGCTGGTGCTATTGCGACAACGGATGATTTCCTATCGATTCAGATCAGCTACTAGTTGTCGCAACACAACTTGATCGACAAGATTCAGTTAGCCATAAAATCCAGGCAAGCATGGGATTGGTTACTATGTATTCAGTGTTCTGTAATAATGAAGGCAGTTAGTATAGTTTGTGGTGAATCTATTAATTTCATCATGGATGCGGTTGTGGACAAACATTTGAAACCTTGCAAACAGTTAAGATGTAATATTTTATCAATTACAAACCATCCATTTCGTTCACATATTTTCGTTGCATATTCTCCGGAGAAACTAGACTCAGTTACATTAAAATACAGGCACGCAAAAAAAGTACAGGAGCTCTACAACACTGTATTTAGCACACACTATGCGATGACTAGATTATAGCAGCTGTCCTAATCAAAACCTTATACTCTTAAACATGTCAATTGATTGATGTGTAGATTATGTGTCATCTAATTTTGGATAATTTAACACATGAACAACAATATATATATATATATATATATATATATATATATATATATATATATATATATATATATATATATATATATATATATTGTTCATGTGTTGCGTATTCTATACTGTACTAAAAACATTATATTGAATAATTGCATTATTACTATTGGTCAGTAGTCAATTATTGTAAACACTGTTTGCAGATGAGTTATTTCACAGCTCGTTTGGATAACTTGGAAGAAAATATCGATCGGATCTTTCTGTATATGTCTAGAGATGTTTAACTTTTATAGTAATAATAAAATAAATGAAAGATTGATAGATCTCGTATTATACTCATTGTTGATCATACTTTTTCCTTAGATATTCAAATGTGTCATTCTCTTTTTTCCGTTTTACTCTCCCTTTTTTGTAGACATATACCCCTGTATCTTCGTCAGAATTAGGAAGAGTTGATTCATTAACTCTACCTTTATCAACAGTGAATTCATCTAACAGTATTATACCACAATATATTACAGAAACTAATCGAATTATTGACAATGGTCTTTCATCTAAAAATTTATTTTATTCAAATTCTGGTCTTGATCTTACTGATACACATTATTTTACATTGACAGGGGCTACTGAAGCGATAGATTTATCACTTGATCCCTCTGTAGATATAATAACTGTAAATCCAATTGATTTAAGTTCCTCACAACATTGTACAACATTGTTTTTTGATTCGTCAAATGAATGTACCGATAATACATTCTTTACAACACATACAATATGGGATCCTGAACCAGGTTTCAGTTTTACCGACCTCTTACTTACTAATAATGATGAAGAATGCGAAACGGAATTCCCTGAAGTTATAATTTACCCTGAAAATGCTTTTTATCGTTCAAACGAAACGTTAACTTCTTTTACTACAACTAGCCACAATGATACTACTAACAAATCCGTAATCAGTAGTGAACTGAAAATACCAGATACACATATCCCATCAATGAATAACTGTTATATTCCATCAGATACACTAACGACGACAATAGAAACAACCTTAACTGGAGGAGTCGGTGAAGAAGGAGGTTATAACATACAACCACCACCTTTAGACTTACGCTTAATACAGTCCAATAATTTTTATTCATGAAAATTATCTTTTGTTTTAGAAGAAAATGTACATTATCTCTTGTGAATATTGTTCATATTTGCATACACTCTAGTATTTCTTTTTATCTTCCCCATTTTATCTATTCATTTCACAGCGTTTTGTCTTCAAAATGTAGTCTATTCATATGTCATATTGTATATATGCTAAGAGATTTCTATTATTTTCTTTCCTGGTATAAATATATACTTTCTTCGGAAAGTGTGTTAGGTCTTTTTTGACACTTAAATAGGAGTTTTGTACTGTTTATGTATGTAGATAGAATTGATTGAATGCTTCTTGTTCTGAATTTTTTTTGGTAATGTTTGTGTATATGTGTGACTTCCATATGTTACTCACTACTTATAGGTTTTAGTATTCGGCTGTGAGTCACATTTTGTTTTTGTGTGAACGTTGGTACTACCATTTAGCTGCCCATGCTAAAGTAGATGTAGGGAGGTTAGACTATGTAACGCTAGCATTTTATTCACTCAATCAACGCTCTACTGATCGTTTGTGTGGCCAAATTGTTTCATGACTGGATTGTATCCCTGCAGTCAAATTTAAGATCATATAATGATATTATTCGTCAGTTTTTGTATAGAATCTAATATGATAGATTACATATGCTATTTATTGCATAATGGTATATGTGTTAATTTTTTTTAAAAACGTAATATACGTCACCTTATTGTAGAGTAATCAGAATATTTTACTGATTGTTTTTAAGGAATTAACTCCTGGTAGATGTTCATACATAATCTAACGAAGTGCAACACTTAATTTAGTCATTTATGCGAGCGCTTAAAAATCTGGTTACAGCATAGGACCAAAGAAATGTAATGCGCCACATAAAGCAAGAATAACTTTGTGAGGAAAACGGAGGACTTTAGAAGAGAAGAAGAAAAGAGTTCATAAACAAAATAATTTACAAGAGCCATGTGTAATGGGATAGACAGTTTAGTTAAAAATATAAATGATACAATCTAGAATTCTTTCGTTTAAAGGAGTTCCCCACACATTTTTGAAGAATGTAAAATAGCGTCACTATTGGTTCTAATTTGAGCCGTGTGTGGTAACGTCTTGATTTACTGTGTTGCATCATCTGAACTCCGACCAGAGAGTCATACCACAATATTCCCATACCATGACGCCATGTCATAAATCAACCGTCTCTTGATTTTGTGGATCACTCTAGTTAAACGCAGAGAGCCGCTTGAGATCTTCAAGTTGGAGAGGTTAGGTTTCAAGAGCACAGTATAGAATCACTCTCACCGATACGTTGTAAACCCAAACCTTTACAGCTAGAATAGCATCATGAAAGTTATATTTGTACAAGGCACTCTGACTTCGCTATTTGTATATTGATTTCATTAGTCAGATCACCAACACTCACGCAACTACACAAATTCATGAACTTCCAGGCTTGTAACGGTATATTTCCAACAGTGATTGCAGCCTCAGATTACTGTTAGCCCTGAAAAATACTTAACACCTCGAGGATACAAAGCACCTACCATACTTACTCATACTGTGGTGATATATATAGGTACACAGAAAAGATAGACTGCTAAATCTACCAGAAATAAGTAGTGCTAGATTCTTAAAGTTTCCAATTAAATGTTCAAAATAATTTCTAAGGTTCCTAATTCCGGTTTCCTTAACGAGTCTGAACAATTGTCTGCTATTACCTATTGCCGCTGCCTTTTCCATCTCTCTCGCTTTCGCTACCCACCACTGTTCGCGATCACTGCGTAGACTTCTTGTCAGCTTGCGCTTAAGCTGACTGTGCTCTTCATTATGTTCAGAGCCAGGTGGAATGAGTTTCCGAGCATCTATCAGTGAGATAGATGCTGCTGAGATCCAGTGTTGCTCCTTAACCTTCTGGTTTACCTTACTAGCAGATATCACTGCTGTTTCCACAGCTTTTCGGATATTACTAGTTAACTGATCTTCAACAGTAAGTGTAAATGGCATACTTTCAGTTTAACTGGCTAAACTAATTATGTGTTAGATCAGAGTTGAACTTGAGACCGGATTTCTGATATATCATCTCTTCTTAACAATAAGCTACTTGGATACTATTGTATCGACAGGTGTCTTATATTCCAATTTATTAATATAAGATTATAATAAAATAGTTGATGTAAAAAAAATAAGATTTCTAGAACGTTTGGCCTCACTTTTGTAGTTTATTTTGTGTAGTTTAAATGTTTGACCTCTTGAAAAGCCGAATTCTATTTAATTGGTTGTTATTTTATAGATATGATTTATGGCCTGTAAATAAAACTGAACACAGAATGAACTTGATCTAGATAACATGACTAGATCTATTTGATTGCATTAAATATTCTGCTTTTTTCTCTGTACTTTGTAAACTTGTGTTAAATTAATCTGGTTATTGATTTGTATATTCTCTGAAGAAGTGACCTACACTAAGTTGCAAAACGTCATTAATTCAATCTCCGACTAATATGGAAATTAAAATCATCTATTATTTTATTGTCATAAATGGTACACTCAATGTTCAATTTATCTAAAAATATGAAGTCAATACTTGGTCATAGACGATATGCACCAACTGTATTGATGTTGTTAAGTAACTTTATTTGCACTTCTATTTTTTGCCTCAATGATTTTTTGTAAAACTATCAATAACTGAATAAATGTTTACTTTTGTGAATATATTCTACTTTTTATCTGAATGCAGAACTTGTATTTTCATCGCCTTTTTACTCGACGAGAAATAATCTTCAGTATCATAGTGCTTAGTAAGAGCCAAAACCTTACAAATATATATCACGCTTAAATATCTTATGTACACCCTAGGATATCTTTATAAATCTAGTATTTGAAATAAATGTATAACATGTTAAAGGTTTTCTAGTTAGTAATTGATTCTATTTTCAGATCTTGTTTCTTGTCTTGTACGTATTTAGTTATTAACCGTATACTTAGTTAACATATGATTATGTTTAAAAGTAACATACAAATTTCAGTAAAATTGGATCGGTGATAGCAGTCGAACCAAGTTATTTTCTATCTAGACACAGTAGATCAGTATATAATACATTAGTATTTGTAGTGAAAGGTATTGTGCTTGAGTCTCTGTGTGAACATCAACACTAGGCTCATGGTATAACCATCTAAAGACACTGGGATAGGGTGGGAAAAACGAAAAGGTGATCAGTCTATGACATTGAACTGTAGTATCCACCGTATGCATTTGTATAACTTGTGATCAAAGGTGCTATCAAGACGATCCCATTAAGTTACAGATTTGCTTATCGATACTGATCAAGTGGCGTTCTTAATATGTAGCTGGCATACTTTTCATAAAAGATTGATCAATCTATGTTGGTATAGTCCATTTTTACAGACAAACTAATAATTTTGTTTACTTACTGATTTATTTTATGTATATATATTCATAGTTGGTCGGTAAATTATTTGACTGTCAGATCAATAGTGCTAAGATTAATTATGATTACAGTTTGCTTTTCTTGAATGCAAAAAACATTACATTCATACTCTGTACGGAATAATTAAAAAAACTGAATGTGCATGATTTCACATTTGTTTATTCAATAGAACATTGAAGTGAAAAGTTGATCTTGTTCACAAATATATCTGTGGTAATCTAACCATATGCAAAGGGATTTCTTTTGTACATAAAACAGTCGGTTTTCATAAGATGATATCTCTACAAAGCATAACACTGTTTAGCATATATTTTGTTCAATACATAACCAAAGGTATTTCTTCACCTGATCAGATCAATGTTTAAATGTAATCGAGTAAACAATCATTGTTCCTCACATACTGACCTTGTGTTGGTAAGTGGTTTATGGGTATCGATCCAATTCAGTGGGGATATAATCTGAAAATACGATTCTGTTGTTTGTCAGTCTGACTAAAACTATTTTTTCATTGGTTTAGGTTCTATGAATTTGTTAAGTTAAATAATCAAATAACCCTCCCTAGTGATTAACTTCAAGGTAGATTTCCGAAACACTAGGCAGATCCAGTGTACGGTATTGTTCGAAAATATCAAGGATGAGACTGTTATTAGTTACGAACGAACTTTACTCACTGATTTACTTAACTTTACAAAGGGAACCATTGTAAACAACATGTATGCCATGAGATTTAGACATCTTGATTTGAATCTTGTGTTGGGTTCTAGGTATACGCAGTGGTTGTACATAGTATCAAACTAGAATGTAACAGTTGTGTTCAGTGCATCTTAGTTTCTAACAGTTGTTCAACGGATAATATAATTCAATATAACTCAATTACTTAGACTCAACTTTATAAGGTTTTAACACATTAAATAACACCAAGTCATATAATTTGTTTTCTCTTTGTGTAAAAAACAACTTAGCCAAATCAACCATTCAAATCAGATTCACAAACGCGTGATATGGAATGTGTCAATCTAACTCCTTTTGGTGAATTCCTAGTATGGACTGCGGAAGGTTAGTCGCATTGTACAGAATTTAAAAAAAAACTTTCATACTTATTTTCTGCTTCAGTAAGTGTTTGTTGAATGTTTTAAAATGACCCGGAGCTACAGCTATGCTCATGATAATGATAATAAAACTGCTCGTTTTATTTCATTCCAAATGTTCAATTACAGTAAAGCATTCTCAGTACAAAATATACAACATGACAGCAAAATTTTCATTTTATGAATATTTGAATTGTGAGTATTCGAAAAGTATGAGTCAAAAGTTTTTGAACATTCATTTACTACCATTTTTATATGTTTATCCATAATTTATGCTCCGATCATATCTTTTTCCATCGATAAATATATATGATGCATGAATTCTCTAGTAACCACCTTTCATTTCTCCAAAGGACAGACGATCATGAGGAAAATGTACAAACCACCATGGTGGTACTTCTTTAATTTTTTAATCATCAGATTCATGATAAGTTATAAACATTTTCTAAAAGCATTTTATTGAAATGCTTAAATAGTGTAATTAAAACACCAATAGAACAGGATGATTTTTGACATTCAATGCACATTTGGCAATATGATGACTGCATCTCCTGACGTTATTCCACTGCCTTTTGGATTAGACCTTTAAGTTGAAGGCTCCGAGTATAACCCCCAAAGGAAACCACTTGTTTCAGTTTGAGTATCCCAGCTCTCACACAAATTGAATAATTTATGTGGCGCATATCTATTTGGTGCCTCCTTGTACCATTGTTTATGTGTTTAAATAAATAAATGACACAAATGTTTCACAAGGCCACCGAACTATATCACTATAATAATAATTTTAATTATGTACAAAATATATTTCGAATTTATTAATTAGTGTACGTTTTATTTAATTTTATGATACCGTTTGTTTTAATTTATGACTTGACTTGTTTTCATTAACAATAATTATTCATCCATTACGCTTATAGCTTTATCATTTACTTCGATGAAATAGTCAGTGTTATTTTCAGCTTTCATATATTATCGTTACAATCAACTCAATTTGTATATAAAAGATGTGAATGTAATTCAGTAACATTTAGTGGTTATATACCAGCAATATATATTCTCCAGTTGTCTTACTATCTAACTAGAAACATTAACCATATGTAAATGTTTGACTAATATAAATCATATTCTTATTAATTGAGAGTCTACTTTATCCATCATATATCACAAATACTCTATAGAATTAGAAATTTAATGCATAAACTTGTATTACGATAATATAATGAAGTTACTTCACATAGTTTTACGATTATTCCCCGAATTTTTCTTCCTAACTATTTTCTCTTGTTAGTATGTATCACTTTTTAAAAAAGTCTACGATTAGCTTATTCCTGAAATGTTTATATTTGAAAATAGGTTGAATATTTCTAGCCTGATTACTAAAATTTTATTATCACTAAAATAAAATAGGATTACGTTGATTACTATCCATTGAATAAATAACACATGGGTATTTATAATCTAGATTATATCAAATAAGACGTAGGATTAGAATTGTCTATTTCGGAGGTAAATCCGTCATATCCATTGATTATTTATTTAATAGTTTTTTAGTTATGAAAATTTTCTAACAGTCGTTTGATTGGAAGGAATTCTTGACCAACTTGTATATTCATATTTATAAAAGTGGAGTGATTATTTAGTGAAATTGTGTGTATTTTTGTTGTTGTTGTTGTCGTCTATTCTTGATGCTTTTAAGAATGTTTTTTTACCGATATTAAATACATACTGTTGTTTCGTAATAGAATGCACTACCTTATAGCAAATACAAATTACGTACATATATATTTCTTAAGTTCACTATTCAATGAAATGTATTTAGCTTAAGTTCTTTTTTTTTTAAATATCCAATGCCTATTTATTTGTTTGCTAGTGTGTATTTTCCCTAAAACAAAAGTCTATTTACGTATAAAGTGCTTTATTTATGCTTTTTTCTTTCTTGTTTATTAGTGTACTATCATTTCATTACAATTTGGTTATTTGTTCGTTTCTATCCTGTTGTTTATACTGTATTATTGACAAAATTATTGACTTCATTAATTTATCTTTTCGACAAATTGTTTATATACCGATTTATATTATTGTTATTCTCTTTTATTATTATTCTATAAAGCTGTTATTTGGTTACGTCGTAATTATCGAATTATTGGTCGTGCTTCATTACCATTGGATTTATTCAAAGGATGTTATCATAATAAATCAAAAAAACCAGATCGATTACCTGTACGATTAAGTTTTGAAGAAGTTGCTTTACTATTATCTAAAGGTTTTATTCATGGTATTTTATGTAGTAGACCAGTAATTTCTGTTGCTGAACCATCAAAAGAAACAATTGAAGCATATCATGATGCATTAATGAAGAATGCAGAAGAAATGGTAATTTTTGATTGATATTTATAGATGCATAAACATAAGTTTATAAAATATTATACAAATGATCTGTTGTTTCAAAAGGATTTATATGGTAGAATATTCTGTTATTTGATTAGTTGTAATTACTTAAATTAGACGTATTAGATATCTTTAAGGCTTTACTCTATCATATAGTTCTCAACTAGGGATTACGATTATTGAAATTATTTTGAATAGAAACTCTCCATATCTTGATGCAATTCAATTCAATCATGAATTATTTCATAAACTAATGATATAATTTGAACTAACCACCCCTAGGTATCTTTTAATCTAATCCTATGCTTGCCAGCGTAAGATATCAGTGTTAGCAGTCGTTGAATCTGGGTAATAAATACGTTGATCATTTCATTAAATAAAAGTTCACAGTTGTATCAACTGATTTACCACATTTACTTAGTACTGTGTACCTAAGTTTAGTATAACCAATTCAATGGTTCTTTCATATCTAAGCAATGTTTTAAAAACACTTTTGAATAAATAATAATCAAATTACTTACGTCTTGTAGATCCATTATCAGTCTTTCACATATATATATAGTATTACAGATGAAATTACTATCCAGTAAATCTATGTCCATTACTACATAGATAGACCTTTCTTTTAAATCAAGTTTGATGACATCACTAGAAAATATCACTTACTGTTTTCATTATTCTGGTTAGAATCCTACTAGGTTGTTTGACGAAAAACTTTAATCTTTTAGCTTTATAAATTCTCTTTGTTATAAATTCCTTTTTTTTCAACGACAGGTCAATATATTTAAAACTCAAAAACGATTAAAATCAGTTGGTTACTATGGTCAGCTATTGAATGGTTTAAAGTTACGTCAACAACGCCAAGCCAGATCCAAGTTATTCAATCACAATGATTCATCATCAGTTAATACAGTCGACGATAATGGGTGTTCAAAAAACTATGACACAAATAATTTAAATTCATGTAAGTCCATTGATTCGTTTGTTAAAAAAGGGTTATTTGTTTTAACCTGCATATAATTTTATTGTGTTCTTTTTTATCAAAGAGTTTATATTATCATATGTTATCAGACTTTGTTTACTGATATAATTGTAAATATTTCAGGTGTATGATACATGACTGACAACAGTCAATGATGTTCACTAAATAAAATGGTTTGACTAAGTCAGGGAATTTACAAATCTGTATCACAATTCTTTTATTTCATTAATGCTCTTGCCATGAGTTCTGAAGTCGTGGATTCAACTACTCTCTCGATCTTGAGTATGCATTAAGTAAGCATCTTGAGTAAGCACCTTGGTACTAAAACAAAACAGTCTTCTATGGTTCAATGATAATTATTGATTTGTTCAATATTATATATTTAGTCGTAGAAAAGAATTCCAAATACAAAATACAATATACCATTGTAAATCTCACTTTAACACATACACTTCATTTGTAACTATTCAAAAGACTAAAATTTAAAGGCTTGTGAAACAGTATTTATTTGATATGTATTTCCAACTGTGAGATTTTTTGATCATTTTCTCACTGGATAGTATGGTTGATGTATGACTTGCAATGTATATATTCTCCTCTCATTACTGCAAACAATTGACACCATGGAAATATGCCATTTATTATGGTATTTTGGCTTTTATTTTCTGTTATTTAACATATTAGTAGGCTGTGGGCTTTTAACAGAGTTCATTATGAGATTTACAAAAGTGATTACTCCATTACAACAAATCTAATATGGGAAAAACTACTACCATAGTTTCACAATTTATCATGAAGTAAATTTAGTTTCTGGTGTAAACTTTATTTATTTCCTTGTTTATAGGATTTGGGTAGTTTGTTTTTCTATGAAATGCAATATTTTACTAATATATTTATTTGCTTATATTTCAACCGCGTTCAATGTGAGGCAGTTAGTTGCCTACTAATGACGTGGGAAGATGGTTGCACAGTATCCTGGATTGATTAAAATTAAACTTGTGAACCACTGACTCCCGGCTCAATGGTATAAAATTTAGGCACTCACCACGATACATGAAGGTTTCGGTTCCAGTTTTCGGTGACGTGGTCGTAGATATTTACTGCCAAAAACTTCATACTATGGTTGTCTTACTAATATCAGTCCGTGATGTAAGCTATAAAATTATTCATTCATTCCCTTTTCTCTTACCGATACTTTTTCGCCTATTGTCATTAAAATATTTTTTACATAATCCTCATTATTACATCCCTGTTAAACGCTTTTACTTCCAGGTTTTATCAACAATCATACATGAATGATGTAAAATTAGTTATCTTCTTTCTCTTTTGTGTATTTGCTCAAAATATGTAGCTTTACAGATATCAACTAGGAAACGACGCCGCCAACGACGTTTACTTCAGAAACAATTGAAAAAACAAATGTCTACGAATGACTCTAGTAGTGTTGGTAATGACGATGATCATTGCAATACTTATGACAGCAGTGATCAAGACGTTTTTGAGCTCTCTGATTCACCTATCACTTTGGATGACCTAATTTCTGAACATTCTAATACACGTCAAGGAACATCGAGATTGTCTGTGATATCAAGTGAAAACATTAAGGAATCCTTACCGTACATTCCGCAACATTTACCACGTCCTACACCTATTGAATGGAGACGTCCTGACGAATATGTGTTTGTTAGTTTGCCAGAAAGTGTATTTTCTGAGGGACTTTATTCAAGTTAGTCACTTTGTCGAAACAATCCTAATATTGATGTTATTACACTTAATTTCTTTGCTCTCTATCACTAGTGTTTGATAATTATTAATTATACTATTATTATATTTCATTTCAGTTGACAAGGTTTAAAAGAAATTGGCACATAGATTAAGTATTTCAAAGAGAGAGGCAATTCTTTAATATTGGATAATGCTAAATATCTGTTTCGTTATTATTATTTATTCATTTATTTTAACACGTAGATATTGGTACAAAAAGGCACCAAATACATATGCACCACACAAATCTCATTTGATATGTGTGAGGGCTGTGACACTGCCCGGGTGCCCAAACCGAAGCAGGTGGTTTTCTTAGGAATCCACACTCGGAGCCTTCGACCTGAATATCTGATCCACAAGGCAGTGGAACATCGTAAGGAGATGCAGTCCCATGGAAGCCGGTGACCAACGATTGGTTCCTACGCCATTTGTTCCTTCAGGATACTGGAGCCCATGTGCACCATTGGTTTGGAATCACAGTTTTCCAACTCCCCTAGGTGGACTCTCCATGTTCACCAACCCGGTTAAAGCGCCGGACATCCACTTTTCGTCCTCTGAACTTCGTAAACAACACCCCCGCCACGAGAAGGCAATGAGTAGGACTTCCCTGGCAGAGGCTATATACACGTGGCCATGTGAGAGCATTTCGAGAGGGAGAGAGGACTCTCCCTACTCTTGACCATACCATGGCATTTGGGGGCTCTTTAAGAAACCCTGGACCCAGGTTTCGTGCTACTTGGCACTCGTCAGCAAGGTGTGCCTGTAATCTTGAGGAAACTGGTGCTCCCTAATGGATTCGATCCCGCGTCACTCAGCTTCAACGTCAGGGATGTTAGCACTGAGCTATCCCGGCCGCGTCTGTTTCATTCTGACCGACGTTTCTTTAGCTATTATAATCGTTTAGCTTCACCTTGGGAAAATCCTTAATCTCTTCGTTTTTTTGGTTAACATGTTTCCCTCAAGTTATTAGTGCAATGTTCCGTTACCATTTTCGAGGTTTTTAAAATAACAATTTTCAAATTTTTCCACTTAATTGTTTCATTTGTATTCGTTATTTGTTCATTACTGTTTTGTTCTAGTGAATGATTAAGTATCTGTGAAATAACTCTTGGGAAAGTTGACATCTAATTAAAGTAGATGATAATGATTTTTTTTAGAGTTGATTGACCAATGAATGGCGACCAGTGTCACGTATGTCAGGTTCTTCTTTAGTGCTGATCGAATCCTATCAATCAACTCTCAATATGGCTACTAATCTAAACGACTCGACATTGCGTGCACTATGTTTAAATGTAAGCTGGTGCTTGGAGGCAGTCAACAGTAGACGCTGGACCTAAGTTTCGTGCTATTTATCTCTTGCCTGTAATCTTGAAGGAATTGGTGCTCACTGACGGATTCTACCGATCAATTATGAGTACATCTCAGTACTACAGGAGATCAGCCACGTCTCTGACTATGAACCTGGGTTTTAGGAGATTATATATATATATATATATATATATATATATATATATATATATATATATATATATATATATATTATCGGGTATAATTGAGAACCAGAGAGGACTGGACTAAGAACAGTCTCATAAATCAAATAATTCTCCACAGATCCCTTTCCGCTGTTGTATATAGTGTTGATTTTACTTCTTTTTAGTTGTCACTTGGCTAATCCAATTGATACAAGATAAATGTAAAGCAACAAATTTTTCTAATCAGCATACTGATGATCAAAATAACATTAGTAGTACACAAGATATGTATATTCAACGTTTACAATCTTGTTTGATTTATATGGATTTGTGGAATAAAGGTTATTATATTAGTACATCCACTGTAAAAATGGGTGGTGATCTCCTGGTTTATCAAGGTGAGTAGTAAATTTTAGTCGTTGATTCTGTTTCTTTTTCGACCTGTCTTTTGTGTTCATTCCTTTTTTTCCTTTTTCTTGTATCAAACACAAATGTTACATAAAATTCCTCTCATTAATTACGTTAATATAGTATGAAATATCTTTAGTTTATTTTTGTCGTGCTGTAAATATATGATGTAATAGTGTAATAATTATTAATTTTTCACAAGTTCAATTTCATAACTTTTCACTAGTGGGTTATTTGCCGTACTTTATAATGGTTGTTATACTCACTTCTCTATAGTTTTTTATTTACATGAAATAATAATGTAATATCACACTGTTGTGGTGTGTGCTACTGATGTCGATAGATATACGTAGTATGTATCATCAATAGAAAGTGAAATGTCTGGTGACAGAAGGTTAAGAAGATCGAAGAACAGATTACAAGAACAGAGAATGATTGGTGTGTAATTGAAGGAACAATAAAGTTTGAGACGAATGATTGACATTTTGCAAATGAAGTATTTGCTGTATAGTTCTCAAATTTTACTAAGATATTATGCAGTTTTATGTTCAAATCGATTTGATTGTCCCCACTTGTGTTCTCGTTCACTACAGTATAATGCAGATCACAACTTCATGAAATGTACATATATTTTTTTCTTGATTCTTAATGATAACAATATAAAAGGTGTTGTCCTCATTTTCATAAATAAATAGTTAAATTTACCTTAATTATGTAAATAAAATAAATCAGAAGTGAAGTGAATATTCATATGTCGTAAGGCAATAGGTAGCATTAAACAATACATTCATCACTATATCTCATCTTTCTGAGTTATTGTGCTCTCTAGTAATTAGTTTCAAAATGGATTTCTCAAATTTTTATTAGGAAAATTGTAAAATCACTTATATTGCGGTGTGGTAATTGTTAAGACAGCTTTCGAGAACCACTATGGAGCCTCCAACGACCTTAAAGGAGCTGAAGAGTGTTGGGGACGATAGATCCCCAAACTCATATTTTGAATTTTATCGCATCGATCAACTTATTGATTAAACGTTTAAATATTTGTATTGGAGTCAATTGATGAACTATCGATTAAATGCGCAAATAGGTCAATTGATGAACTCATTGATTAATGTTTAAAAAATTTCCTATGACAATATCGATTGTAAATAATTGTATAAATATGCTTGACTTGTATGCTTGATCTGATCTGCCTGCCTGACTGGTTATCTGCTGTTTGTCTGTAGAATACACTTTCTACACCTTACCGGACTTCTTGATCGAGTTAGCAGAGTTGGGGACAATGGACCAGAGTCTCTGAAACCTTGATCCGATCGATAAGTCACTGTCATATAATCGGCTGTCACTTTGAGACATAACAATTGGCGAATAAGTCGAATCAGTAGTATCCTCAAGGATAACGAACCTAACAAAGAGTTTCCACTTAATCAGAACCTGATGGGGTTTTTTAGAATATCAACGTTGCATGCTACGATTGAACACTAGCCTAATTTGCCTTCTTGAGGATTGGCTGCATTTTAAAGATGTCATAGCCAACGCTAATAACTATAAATACCCATGCTTTTCTGAACATTTTCGATTCTTACCCAATAATCACTTCTCCTGCTTCGTCTGTCCTCTAATATTCGTTCGAGTGCCGTTAGTTTTATATCGTATTCTGCGTTAATCGCAATCAGTATGAATTTTATTTTTATCTTCTGTATATCAAATAAGTAATCATTTTGCCACAGAACTTTTTGATCGTCTTCCATCTCATAATAAGGATATTATAAAGACAGCCGAGTACTTTATATCATTATTAGACTCAGGACTGCATGATTATATACATACCATATACATCCTTAAGGTTTCATAAATAATAAATCACATTCTGTACATAATTTGGACCTTTTTGGCACGGACTTTGACAATAATTTCTGAACGGAGAAAAATATGACAATGGTGAATAAGTCGAACGGCCGCTTGAATTTAGGACAATATCATAGATAATTTGTTTGATAAATACACACCAATAATTTTCATACTAATTCATGGTAGGATAGTTTTCAAAGTTTCTTTATTTTCATTTATTTGCCCGCTTATAACAGTAATAACTCAGCACTGATATCAGAGCATAACACACTTTATCACTACTTGACCAAATTTATTAAAAACTATGAATTATGTTCCCGTACTCTAAAGAAAGCAATTGTCCAACACCATTTAGTTTCGAACAGTTTTGTAACCTTTATTTACTGTATCAACATAGTCAATTTACCATAAATATTCACTACCTTTCTAAGTTTAATCCTCAGGTAATACAGAGCTAATTTACACGTAAATTGATTAGTACATTATGAATTAATGTGAATATTATATACTTATATCACAAGTATGCTCATCTAAATGCATCTTCAGTATAAATTAAACTGTTCAATTTAATAATGATATTATGGTCTTTATTAAATAAATAAAAAATTGAAGAGTTTTTCAAGCTATATATGTTTTCACTATTATACTCAAAAAGTATGTTCTACTTTACAGTTTTCCTTTTTTTTCTTTTACATTTTGTTTCTTAGGCGATCCACTTTTGTATCATGGTAGTCATATTATTACAATTTGTAATCCAACAGATCCATTTTGCAATTCACAATTATTAGCTAAACTACGTATTGCGAATGGTTTGAAAAAAATACTTGTTCTAGCTACAGTTAGTAATATTGAAATGTTTACTAGAAAATTTACAGTTCAAAGAATAAAACATTGTGAAATTAAGAATGATAATGATGATGATGATAATGATGGTAGTGTTGTAGATCCCCCAGTTATTGTCAGTGAACACTCGAAATTATCTGTACAATCAAAAGAAATTACGTCCAATGAAAGTACCCATAGTAGTTGTAATAGTAGCACTAATAAAATACAACCTAATGTAATTTACTTATCCCTTCAGTATATGTCTTCACACTCTAGTAATCCAACATTTTCAAAAGCATTATGATTTATAATAAAAATGGTTTTTTCCCTTTCTTTCTATTGTTCAGTATATTTTTTGTAAATGAGAATGATTAAAGGAAGACAAATACATATTTTCGTAAAATTTTCTGTTCTTTTAACTTGTTTTTTTGTGTCATGCTTGGATGATATTTTAATTTGTGCTTCATGTATTTAGAATATCTAGTTGAATACTCTCAAAAACATACATTCAGAAAATTATATCTATCTGTAATTGCATCGTGATTGTAGTTCGATGTTACTTATTTACCAAGTTCTTATTGATGTATTTGGCTTTTAAGGATACATTTTGTGGAGGCTAGTGGTTCTATTTGCCGATGGTCCAAACCGAAGTACATGAAATGGATCTGCCAGTTGAAGACTGAGTGCTGCAGTCGCTAAACTACCACTTCAATACGCGGTAATTACAATCGTCCATAAAATATGTTTGATATAGGATGACTAACTATATTGAAAACCAATAACAAACTTCCTATTCACAAACTGTTAATAATCGATCACAAATGTGTCGGAAACAGCTCACGTATGTCAGGACCAGCAAGTGAGTAGTCCTGAGGTTGGAGTGGGGTTATAGTTCCTAATAAACATAGTAATTTGTCTGATGAGATTGTGAAATTTTATCGACTGAGTTTAGGGAATTATATGTAGTGCATACCTGCCCAAAAGCTATTCTGACTTGCTGTTCTGGTGAGCATATGTTTGGTTTTGAGGAATGCTAGAATGGGACATCACATCAAATCAATAACTACAGAACTGATCCTTGTTGGAAACTATAAGTTCATTATAGTCTGTTGTTGGATACCATTGGATGACCTATCTCCGATATATATATATATATATATATACGCGAAAAATTACTTCCTAAAATATTCATTTTCCCATTTATTTAGAACATCTTATTATTCATGGTTTCAGATTACTTGCGTTGCGTGAAGTTTTTTTCAACCATTGTTTATCCCGAAATGTAGTGTTGTGTAGATGACAACTAGTAATCAGGAAATCAACAAACCTAGTCAGTTCATGAAGTCATTAACTGTTGGTTCGATTCTTATGAAGATGTTCTGACTACAGACCTAGTTTTGTTCCGTGAGATGATTGTGACCAACGATCGAAAGCATTAGATGAGGCGGCATGGGTTAATTAAAGTGGCGTAGATTCATCCTGTATTATCCCGTTTTTCTATATTCTCTACACTTACTCTTCTATAATATCCTGTATACTACTACTTTTCGAAATTGTTTGCTATTCACTCGGCTTTTTCTATTTGTACTCGTATAGCATAGCAGCTTGAGTGGATACATCTTTAAACCAGGTCCTATGTCGATTATGACTGGCTGATATATCTGGTTATAAATTTTTGTCACATTGAACATAATACTTTATTATTCAACCGCAACCAAGTACAAAAAATTGTAACCATCCGGCCAAAAATATAGCTTAGATAACATGAAGATAGATTAGTAGAGTCAGCCAATGCACGTTTTAAAATACTGAGAAAACAGACAACAGATGTTATACTTTAAGTTTTGTGTAGCTAGTTGAGTTTACGCACAAGTCAATTAATTCCCATTAATCTAGTTAATTAATGTATGTATTAAACTAGTTATGTGGTTACTCTCACCCTCATGTTTTATAATTTCCAAAACGCTAATAGAATTTAATTAATTAAGTCACACACAGTATGAAACGCACGTCCTGGATTCTACTGTCGGCCCCTATCTTACTCTGTCTAAAATGAATTGATTTTAGTTGCAAATGTAAATCTCCGAACCTGCCTCATTGATCACTCACTCGTTGAAACGTCTTAGGGTTTTATGTTTGGTCTCTGTTAGGCTTGTGAGTACCACCTGGTGATTATGGTAATCTCAATCTAAAACATGACGTTTGCCTGTCGCTTCCTGCTTTTCAATGGTATCACGATGGATGTTAACCTATTGTAAAAGCTGTCTTACGAATCTTTTTCTAACTATTATTTAATGTTATTTCACTCAAACTATGAAATATATGAAAATAATAAATTTTCTTTTGTCTGTAAATAGTTTTGGCATATTTACCTTTATTCTCTAGGTTTTAAGTCCTTTTGATCAAATGAAAATACTTTCTTATCACTAGTTGGAGAAAAATGGATGAACAAGAAGAAACTTGGTATATGGATGACTATGAAGAAGAACTACTTGAGGAGATAGATGAGGAAGATGGAGACAATGATCTGTCGGGAAATTATTTAGATAATCTAGAAACTATTGAAGGGGATGATGATTATGAAGATGTTTCATTCGAGAATGCATTATCCATAAAGTCTATATCGTCAGAAATATTATCATGCACTACACCAGTTTTGAAACAAGCCTATTGGTTACTGATTTTGATACTTGTTTCATGTCTTCTATGGCGTATCGTACAATTTGTACTGAACAAATGTTTCCCTTCAAATGGTATGTGTGATTTATATATTTATTTATAATAAATTTGCAAATTCGGATTTCAGTGTCCTGAGATCTGACTCCAGTTCGATCGTATGATTGCCGTTATCGACTTATATATGTCACCAATCCTCGTATATAATCATCGACTTAAATCGCGTTAGTGGATAACGGAATTAAATAATAGCAATCCGAGAATGGATTTTGAATACGTCTATTTTGTACAATCGTTGGTCGAAAAGAGAAGCAAAACAAAACGACGTGCGTTGGTGAAAGCGAGTGAGCCAACTCGATTTAATCAAGAGTGACTCGACATTAATAGTCAGACGAAAATAAGTTACAGAAATGTGATGAGTAAGATAAGAAATGCACACACATACGCTTACATAAAAACAGTCAAGGTTGACAAGCGAGTAATTGACAAGGTCAAAATGTGATTCAAAAGAATGAATAAACTGTTCTGTCAGTTTGTGCTGATGCTGTCGTTCAGAAAAACGATGAAAGCTTCTCGACCAAACCATCCAGCTCAGAGAAAAAAACTCCACCGAAAGCTAGAATAAGCTGTGTAGGCTTAACATAGCAACCGATATTACAAGCTTAGTGACTCAGTATATATTATTATGATTAGCATTTAAAAAAATTTTTTTTTTCAAGAATTTCATATAACAGTCATTTAAAAAATTTTAAGTAGGGCACAAATAACAAGATCGATTAAAATGAATAAATTTTAAGGCTTCTCATTCAGTTTCAAGCAGTTTAACGATAACAAAAGTTATGTGATCAGAAACAAAGGTTTGCTGTAATTTAATTAGTGAAGTTGAAATAAGTATTAAGTATGTAGTCGAAAGTCATAATATGTGGAAGTAGACAAGCATATAACAGTAAACTTAACTAAAATTGATATTTACTTATAATGTTGATAAAAACCAATAAAAATTATAGTACAATATCTTATTATTATTACTACTACTTTTGAGCCGTATCGCCCAAATTTTTCAACCAATGATCGTAGTTATCACGCGGAACTCAACTGTACTTTGATTATCATTGTTGATAACTCTGTCTTTTTTCGTATATTACTATTGTGTATTTTCTAAATAGGGAAAATTTGCCGCACATTTGTCACAATAATCCTCCATATATTTTCCATTTGTCTTGGTAAGTACTTCCTTTATCCATCCTATTGAGAGTTTACATTTAAACATTACATACTTTAAATAATTTTAAAGTTATTAGTAATTGTTATTTTGAAAATGTTTACATTTTCTATATTTTCTGAACATCTCTTTTCAGTTAACTATCAGATGTTATGTACTGTATATCATTTATCCATGTTATTAACTAGGCGAAAAATACAGTATATAGAAGTGTATTTTATGATACAGTCTTCTGTTGCAAGTTCAAAAATTTCCAGCAACTTACACTAACTGAGGTTTGTATTGGATGATGAAAACTACTTAGTTAACTTACCTCACTCTCCTGATTTTTGTCCGAATTGAAACTTTTAAAAAACTGTGAACTACTCTAAAAGTTAACGATCGGAGTATGGTCAAAGCTCGTAAAGCACTTAGAACTTACAGTTTAACCAGTTGATTCAAGGGTTAATAACTTGGAAGTCATTTGTTATAAACACCCTGTCCTACAGGTTTTCTGTCAATTTCTAGCTTTAATTATCAATTGTAAGTAGACCTTTTGGTTACTGTTTTCCAATAATTACTTTAAGTTTATCCTAAGATAAAACTCTTTTATATTCAGCATTATATCATTCTTTTTTTGAGAAAAATTCCATAAATCATTCAGTCATATTATTAGACAGTGATACATAACTTGTATGCTTCATGTTGGAGCGTTAGCCTAATAATAAAGAAAGTATAAATTGAAACTCGGCTCTACTTTCTACAATCATGACAATCAACATATTGAATCATACGAGGCTAAAACCGATGTTTAATAAACATTTACATTATAAATGAGAATTACATTACAAATAAACTATCTATAACTCATTTGTTAATAATAACTAGTATCTACTCTTAAAACTGTTTATAATTTCTAAAAGATATTGTAGGTAATCCTTTTGACTAGTTTGAATGATTCAATCAGAAAATGAAATTTGATAAAACCATATAATATTATTACCACATTGCCTGCTGAATAATTTCATTACATATTAACTTTGCAATACATTTATACATGGGAGACAAATTACAGCATAAAACGTAAATAATAAGGAAAGAAATAGTGTAAACTATACCATTCTATGTATTAAAATAGTAGTGTCTGAGTACATTTAGTATGTGTACAGATTTTTTTAAACAAACAAGAGGATAGCTTGAACTTTCACTAAGCTAAGGTTTCATTAAACTTGAATATTCTCCCTAAGTAACTGATAAGCAAAACCGAAAAGCCGAATTAAAATCATTTGTATAACCTATTTCAATTATGCGTTTGACAATGAATAAAGGAGGGTGTTTGTCATTTCCTCATATTGATCTATTTGACTTCCTTTGTTTTTTGTTATCATTTCAGTACATTTTTAATAGCCTGTAACTTACAGATCACATTTGCTTCTTCCAAAACAGGTGTAAGTAAGTAAGTAATATTTGGTAAACACAGAGATATGATGCAATCGTGTACACGCATCTGATAAACTTCTTCTTCTCATTTCATTATTTAAATTTATCTAGTTTTTAGTGATAGAATTCTGAATAATGTCAGAGCTAATATAAAAATTTTATTTTATTTCATTTGATTAGGTTTATTAGTTTTATATTATGCTTCATATGATCTGTGGTGGATTGTTATTGGCCTTATAATTACCTTAACACTATTATTTACTTTAAATATTAACTCTGATATTTCTAATTCACATGGGAAATATACTAATTGGGAATTATTTGTAACAATTGGAATTTGTTCATCTGTTCAGTTATACTGGTAATTAATTAAAATTGTTGCTTGTTTATTCCTCTATTTTTATGATAATTGATATACTACGTTTGATTATTAAATTTGACTATCTTTGTAGTTTGTGACTAAATTTTTTCCAATATTAGATTCGTTACCATTGATGCTTTTTCGAAAACCTAGTAATTAGTGTAGACTTCCGAATTTTGTAGTTTACATCGTATATTGACCTTATTTGAGCAACCATTCAAATATAAGGAAAAAACTGGACAGTGGTTTTGTCTTTGTATGGGACTCCTCAACAGTGTGCATCTGAGACCCCATCGGAAATCAAACTCAGGACCTTCCGGTCTGAAAACATCTAAGCATGTAATATAGTACTTATGGATAAAATTCAAGCTGATTAATTGTTCCCTCTAAATATGGCAATTTGTACAAGTTCTGATGAACTAATTTATAGTTTGAAACCCTCATTTAAACAACTGATAAGTCCAATTCTTCGATTTTCGAATTCTAGCCACTTCGTGGGGGAGGAGAAAGCCAGAAAATTTAAAGTCAGGGTCTAAACTTGAAGTCTCCAGAAAAGGGGAGGTGTTATGATGGGGTAAAAGGTCAAAATTAAATTGATTTTTATTCAACATTAATTCCGTTTAATTCAATTTGATGATCATTCAGTATAGTATTTGTTCCATTCGCAGACTACGTGAACTCGTAATTGCTTCAAACATAGCAATCTGATTGATTATATCTGTTACCAGTTAATGTAGCAAGTATGTAATTCTACTTGTGAATTGATTTATCACTAATTATTCCGTGGTCTTCACTTAGTCTTTCGGAATTAAGTTATATTTGCGGTTCATAGATGAAGAATTTAAAGTATTGTGATACCTAGTGATGATTATAATTTCAGGTAGTTTTCACCGCAAAATAATATAAGTGAAAGATTTTGCTATATCTAGACTTGAGTTTTTGCTATACCACGTACGACTTGAGCACTTGAACGCTTAAACCCCCGAAGTCTCAAGTTAGAAGACAGAAGACGAATGAAAATGTATCTTTGTCCAGCCGGTATGAAATATGATACAGAACACTCGGGTATTTTTAGTTTTTAGTAAAAACAAAATCATCATTACAATCATCCAATACATAGGCAGTGGTGTTTAGCAATTGTCCAATCGGGAAGCTACGCGCCAAGATTCTGGGATGTTCTTCAAACGATTATTGTATGGAATGTCTTCAGATTTTTCAGAGCTTTCTTGAGTCCACCAAGAGCCGTCCCCACATAATTACTCTGAACTAAGTAGATTATTAGGGGACCGTTTAATCGCTCTTTGCGAGTCTTTAATATTGTTCACCTAGAATGTATCACACGACCGAATCAAATACCTTTACATCAATTAATACTTCGAGTCGGTATATTATTGCTTAAATTATTGACTGTAGTCAAGTTCTAGTATCAATCTTCACCCCACAGAGCATATGATTTTACACTTTCTATGTTACCTAAATACACTCGTGGCTCTGATTCTTAGTATGATTTTAAATGGTCACTGTTTAAGAGTCTGCAGATATTACGTTCCTTTTGGTTACCAAAGATTCTTCAACTGATATCAGCCCATAAAGTAAAACATTTTATATCTTAAATGTCTCAACGCAATTACATCTGTATATGCTTGTTACATACTTCATATCTTACAATTAGGAATAAAGTTAATGACATTCTCAAGAGTATAGATTACATTTAAATGTATTTTGATTTTCGTTTCTTAGAGATTTCGTTTTTAACAAAACAAAAATCAATTTTCCCTTGATCATTTGATTTCATTATTCATCTCTTCCAGCCCGTCTTCTTAACCACATTTATGTATTTTTTTTATTTAGCGAGTTTAACAAAAATCCTGTTAAATGGCATCAAATTCGTGGTATGTTATCTAATTTCATGTTGACTTAATGAATTCTGTTACATTTTTTATTATTAGTTAATGCTTGGTCAGATGTCTTTAGCATTTTGTTGATTGTATTATATTCTATGGACTAGATTATTCAACTGTAAATCTTTTGTTATTAATCTGGTCAACATCATTAGTAACTGTTTTACATTAAAATGAACATAAGTAGTACCAGATCATTCTGTTTTTTTATGACTATTATTTATTGTTTAACCTATTAAAAGCTTGTTATCTGCAAACTACCTTTACCAAAAACCAACCGATGTCCTATTTCATCGCTTATTACTTACTTACGTCTGTTACTCCTAATGGAGCATAGGCCGCCGACCAGCATTCTCCAACCCACTCTGTCCTGGGTCTTCCTTTCCAGTTCTATCCAATTCTTGTTCATTTTTCTCATGTCTGACTCCATTTCCCGGCGTAATGTGTTCTTTGGTCTTCCTCTTTTCCTTTGGCCTTGAGGATTCCATGTGAGGGCTTGTCTTGTGACGCAGTTGGGTGCTTTCCTCAATGTGTATCCTATTCACTTCCAGCGCTTCTTCCTGAGTTCTTCCTCCACTGGGATCTGGTTTGTTCTCTCCCACAGTAGGTTGTTGCTAATAGTGTCTGGCCAATGGATCCGAAGTATTTTGCGTAGACAACTGTTAATAAACCCCTGTATTTTCTGGATGATGGCCTTTGTAGTTCTCCAGGTTTCTGCCCCATACAGTAGAACTGTCTTGACATTTGTATTGAAAATCCTGACCTTGGTGTTGGTTGACAGTTGTTTTGAGTTCCAGATGTTCCTCAGTTGTAAATATGCTGTTCTTGCTTTGCCGATCCGCGCCTTCACATCTGCATCAGATCCACCCTGTTCATCAATGATGCTGCCCAGATATGTAAAGGTTTTTACATCTTCCAAATCTTCTCCGTCAGGTGTGACTGGATCGGTGCATGCTGTGTTGTATTGGAGAGTTTTGCTTTTCCCTTTGTGTATGTGGAGACCTACTGCTGCTGAGGCTGCTGCTAAACTGGTTCACATATCAACACTTAGTTTAAATTCAATAATTTCTATGCTTCGAACTTCAGTTAATTCTCAGCATAGCTCACTCATCATCATACATTCGCAGGATTTTCGAATTTTATTGGTCAGAGCTTCTCACCAGAATCCTACAAATCTTCCTCGTCATCAATCACAAATAAGCCCATATTCACCATTAATATGGAGATCTATGAAGATTATTTAGTGTGATGTTAATTTTCGTCAAGATATCTAAGTTTTTATCAATCATAAATCTCTAAAAAGTTTAAACAGGAATAATTCCTGTTTTACCAAACATTGTATTTAAAAATATCATCTAACTTAATCTGTTGTTACATTCAGAACTATTGATACTTTATATTTGTCTCTTAATAATTTACTACTAATTTTTTATACTACTCTCTTGTGACTTTTCGGTTTATAGGTAGTATAATGATAATTATTATGAAATGTATATCTTTTTCTATGGAAAATAAAAATTTTTATAAAATGATCAATAAAGAGCCTTGCTGCATACTACTGTGGACACCATTATATCGTGGATTACTTTGGTTATCTTATTGTCTGTGCCCAGCTAGTTTATTGTTTGGTCCGTGGTTTAATCCGTTAAGATATGAAGAAATGATTAGAAACTATGCTGTTAATGATAGACCTTTTTCTTTAAAAAATGTAAGTTATAAACAATTGAATATCAAGATGAGTGGACCTTGAATGTGGCTGATCGTTACATTGTGAAATGTGCGGATTTAAAACTTGTTGAAATAATTTGTGCTTCAATGTATTAACTTTAGTTCATAGTCGTTCATAGTTAAAGTACATCAGTAATTAAATAGAGATTTCTGAATTGAGATTTAAGTTTTATTCTTGAGTATGGTGTGAAAACACAATGATTGTTATTTTTTAGCACTAAATATGTCTCTATTTGTAATGAATTTGTTGATTCCTTTTGTTTTTAAATATGTTTGACTAATAGTATTTTTCAGTTTATATATTTCTATTTGATATTCCAGTAAATATGATTTGAACTGTTTAGTTAAACTGATATTTTATAAATTTGTGTTAAAAATAAGATATACGTGAATACATTCAGAATTAGATCGTTTCTGAAGATAATTGTCATCTACAACCAATATTGGTTGGGAAAACCATAGAAAGATAACCAGCTATTTCATTTTAGCTCTGAAGATTTCTTAAGTAGTAACTACGAGATAAACAAATACATGATAGACTGGTTTGTAGTCAGTTGGTTATTGATAATCAACTTACAGCCTGGGACATATATGCGTCCATCCAAGTTACCATACAACATTAACGGGCGAAAAGATTTCTAAATAATATATATATATATATATATATATATATATATATATATATATATATATATATATATATATATCCTTAGGAACAAGTATTAAGAATAGGGTTCTAAAATACAGTGGAAAAGTATGTACTAAAGAATATTTGAACTCAGTATCTAGAAGATAAAGAATAAATACATCTGCTCTATTGTAACGTCTTCAACCACTGATCTCAGGTATCATACGGATCTCAATCAGGCAGTCTGAACCTAGGGAAATTTCTCAGGCTAATAGTTAGTGGCTTCATGTATTAATGCCACGTTTTTGGCTTATCTACTCCTTGCTTGCTTTGATATCAGTCTGTAAGGAACTAAATATTCATTGCGTAAGCTTCATATATCTCATAATCTTAGTAATGGTTGCGTGTATTCAATATTAACTAAAATTGAAGTGAATTCTTAAAAATTTCAATATGAAACAGTAATTAATTAAATTACTTGGTTACATAATTAAATTAAGTATCGTCGATAGGAATTATAGAAATCATCCCAGCATATCATAAACTAACGTTAAAAATGTGAACTGTTAAATTTCAAACTCAGGGGTTTAAATGCATTACGGTCACGTTAAATAGTTATAAGTAGTTGACAAACCACCCGTATTACTTGGCATTCGTCAACAGTACTTACCTTTATTCCTACAACACACTCATCCTTCATGGCTTCAGTGTGCTTGATTCAACCCACTATTTGATATATGTATAGTTGTGGATCAAGAGTGTAGAAAGGCATCAATACTCTTTGGTTTTCGGTGACTCTTTAATTGAAATATCAGTTCGTACTGAAATCTCGTTATCTTAATTATTTTATTCAGTAACTTTTATATTTTATCAATAAATATAATTCCTACATATCTAAGGTTGTAATGTTGCTAATTGCTAAGAAAATGTAACAAAATTTAACTTGATTTGTAACATATCATAAAATAGATTTTTCTAAACCTTTTATTCGACTAACAATGGTATACAGTGGCGCAATTTCGTGGATTAGTTGAAGCTAGGCATTAACACCGTTGGATGTCGGCTCAGTGGTCTAATAGTTAAGCTTTCGCACTCGAGACCGGTAGGTCCTGAGTTCGAATTTCGCGGGGGCGGGACCGTGGATGCGCACTGTTGAGGAATCCCATACTAGGACGAAGCGGCCGTCTAGTGCTTCCAGGTTCTCCATGGTGGTCTAGCTTCAATTGACTCATGATTTCAATTAGTGAAATAACAATACATTCACCAAAATATGATTTTTTCATTTATGTAACTTAGGGTCACAAAACATAACACCTTTTTTATACTTTGTGTTACTATTCTATAAAGTAACATTGAAAAATCTTTGCTTATAAAAGAAAAGTAACACTTACAATTAGATACTACTTGAAATACAATTTCATTTTGATTATAATCTTTTTTTGATCTGTGCAAATGAAAACATGCTTTTATTCAAATTTTCCTTTTGAAATATTCGTTGTTGTTCTTATTGTTACTGTTTTCTTTTTCTGACAGACTGTAATTTCACTTTTTCAAACAGTTAAATTATTTGGGCTATCTTTGTTATATTTAACCTATTCGACTTGTTTCTCTCATACACTGGCTTCGATATTGAAATTTCAACCGTAAGTTTATGATTCCTAATCTTTTGGGTGTAAATTTTTTTTAAAAAAAAAGGTCAATACACAGATATGGTTGTACCGTGTATTCGGTTTTCTTTTTCAAATAAGTGGTCTAATTGTTAGGTCAGTGAACTCGTAAGTATTTGGTAGCGGGTTCGAACTCAACCCTCGCCTTTAAGCATGTGGATAGCATAACTACTTATCCTTACATTAAAGTGTAACTTATCACTGACTTAACTTTAGATTGCTACGTTTGAATCAGTAATATTGATTCTTCGACTAAATGTTCTGATATGCTTGAAGGTTGGCACAGGTATTCAGTGTTTGACAACGCTTCTACCAGTAACACCTAATATAATTCGTAACCACCCGGAGAAATCAAAAGACAGAGTCGAGGAGATCGGAAGAGTGTATTTGGCGATAACCAATATATCGGAATTCTCTGATCTAATCTAGCTAGTGATTGCGGTAGATGTTGAGCACGGCGTTACCACACGTGATCTGGTGCGGATGCCTGACTGAGCGCCTTCAGCTAGATGAGTCCACTAAAACATATGGTCAGCATCCAATGTCGAAAACTTAGAGAGCTATTTATTTTGGGGATTCATTTACCGCTACATGCTAAAGGTTATTAACTTGTACAAAATACCTGTCCTGAAGACCAAATTAGAACTCGAGAATAACAGCTAATGTAACCCGTATATCTCTGACTGGAAAACTCACATGGTTATATATATGGATTACAGGACCATGATGCATCATAAACAAGAGATTGTAACATGTACCTAACTTGGACAAAAAACCGCGATGATGATGTTTAGTAATAACTCATGTTAATTTGGGAACAGAAAAAGATTTAACAACTGTTAGTTGGCTAAATGGAAGCATACGAATATGAACACATAAAATTCACTCAACTAAAGCCCTTAATAACTACATTTTATATATAAAAATACTAATCTACCCAGAAAAAATTACTTCTAACGTTTGTCATTTTCATTTATTCATCTCATTTTAACCATTACTAACTACTTAAACTGTCAATGTTTGGTCAGTTATTTACATTTAATGGGAAGTGTTCAGCATTATTATGAATCTCCTTAAGATTGTTTGTTCACAAACTAATATCTGATTAAACTGAAAACTGTATATGTTTACTTACCTTCAGAATAATTTAACTTACTGTTATTATTGAAGTTTTGTTTTATTGTTAAAAATTTTCCTTGTTTGATAATAAAGCCATACTTTGTGCAAATAGAATTGTTCATTAAAATCATATCTATTTCTTCATTATTTTTTCCTCTTAGTTGGCTTCATGCTTATTTTGCATCACAAAGTTTCCGTTTCAGTCATTATTTCGTATGTATATCAAGTGAATCTTCCATGACAGCTTTAGGATATTATGATAAATATTCAATAAAATCAAACAAACAAGAAAATACTGAGGAGAAAGACAATTCAAAAGTTGTATACAAGTAAGTTAATTGTTTGCTTTCTTTAATCGGTAGTCAATTCATTGACATATTGTTTCTTTTTTTTAATATTTATCTGGTCTATTGAACACCTTAAAATTGTGATGGGACAAAAATTTGCATGAAACGTTGAATTATCTCATCTATCGCTATCAATAATAAATTGTTTCATAATCCATGTTATTAATACAGTCTCCAAAATCATTCATAAGGTTCTCATTAATAGACTGATATTTGAACGAAGAATATTCTATTCGATAAATTCTATTCAGGTTCTACAATTATATATCCAAATTAATAATCCGAAAAATGGACAGATTAAGAGTAAAGTACATCGTTTAAAGCATGTCAACTTAGGATTGTGTTCGTGGATGCGCACTGCTGAGGAGTCCCATACTAGGACGAAACGGCCGTCCAGTGCTTCGAGGTTTTCCATGGTGGTCTAGCTTCAATTGGCTCATGATTTCAACTTGTGAAATTTCTAAAAATCTCCACAAAACCCATTCTGATAAAAATTGTTAATGTTGATATGACTCATAGAATGTTAACTTAAATCTGCGTATATGTTAAGTGAAATTTTAAGATCCATGATCAGAATAAATATGGGTCAAATAGGGTGAAAGGGTTATGAAAGTTCTTTAATACTTTTTAGTATCGGTTTGTGAATACTATTGTTTTAAATAAATACGACTTGGAAACTAACTAATACACAGCTTGTTACTTATTATGGATTTACTTCTCAGCATTATATCTTTTTTTACCGATTATAAACTGTGATCTGTAGAGGAAACCGAATTTCGAATCATCAATTATAACACGGTATAAGTATATAACTGAAGTTTATAAATGCCGATCATTAACTACTGATACAGTAATGAGTCGCTTACTAGGTTGTGAAGTTCACTGTCCTATCTCAGAATGCACACTGATAAAAATTTTGAGATCGACATGAAGAAAACGATAAATCTTGCTCAGTTTCCAACTAGTTTAACCGGATATTCAAACTAGTCATGTCTTGTAAATCTTAAATTGAATGTTACTCACTAGTCGATTATACTTCATTTGTATAACCTCTCCTACTTAAAAAGGTTAATCATACACTTCCTGTGTGTAATAAATCTACGCTACAGCAACATAATAATTGTTTAATTCCTTAAAATTCTGTTTATTAGGTTACATGAACCAACATATTCCGTTGCGAATGAAATACTAGTCGAATTAAATATAAATTGATTCTTAATTTATAAGGTTCTATACAACTTTTATTATAAAATAATATCTAATCAGATAAGTACAGGTTTGTTGCATTTTCACTCTTTCATCTTTTTACCAGACCTATTGTGGTAACTCGTCCATTGTTCATTGAACTTCCTCGATCGTTAGTGGAAGTTGTTATTTACTGGAATTTGCCAATGCATACTTGGTTAAAACAATGTAAGTCATGATTATTTATTCTTTTATTTGATAACGAAATATTTTTATTTTAAACTATGAAATAACATGTAATGTTTTGACTAGTGTCTAATAGTGTTCTCCAGGATGTGCATTTTATTGAATTCAAGTGTTAATTAGAACGTGTGGTCATTTTGTAAACATAACGTAGTACTAGTAAGTTAACTACAGCAACAAAGCATTTCAGACTAATTGCTACACTCAAATGTCTTATGTATCTGCATGTTTACATTTCATACTAAGTGGAAAATACGGACATCTTTGATAGTTTGTAGATAACTTAATGTGTTTAAATTTACCTGTTTCAAACAAAAACAATACTTACTTACGCCTGTTCCTTTGTGGATGAGCATAGGCCACCCATCAGCATCCTTCATCGAACTCTGTTCCTCTCTAGTTGCTGCTCATCCTTTTGATGTCTGCTTCCGATTCTCGACAAAATGTGTTCACCAATCTTCCACATTACTGTTTCCCTTCAAGATTCCAAGTTAGCACTTACCTCGTGATGCAGTTTGATGATTTCCTTAATGTGTGTCTTATCCACTTTCAGCGTCTTCTACTAATTCTCTCTTCATTCGGAATCTGGTTTGTTCTTTCCCACAGTGGGCTGTTGCTGATGGCATCCGGCCAACGGACATTACGTATCTTGAGTAGACAACTGTTTATAAATACTTGTGCCTTTTTGATGATGATTGTGGTAGTTCTTCAAGTTTCAGCTCCATACAATAGAACAAACTGTCTTAACGTTTGTATTGAAGACTCTGACTTTGATGTTAGTTGACAGCTGTTTTGAGTTCCATATGTAATTCAACTATAGGAATGCTGTCATTGTATTGTCAATTCTTACCTTTGCGTTTGCATCAGATCCTTCACGTTTATCGATGGTACTGCTCAGATACGTGAAAGTCTCCATCTCTTTCAGAGTTTCTCCTCCAAGTGTGATTGTTTTGGTGTTCTCCATGTTTTATTTCAAGATCTAATATGTATATATATATATATATATATATATATATATATATATATATATCAGTTTTTGTCTATTCTTTCATCAGTCTTTCATGTAAATTGGAGATCTTTGTCAGTACAAGTTACCGTGTCTGCTCTATCCGTTGTCTTGTCAACAAAATTAACTACTGAATTTAGTTCAAAGAAAAATAATTGAGAATCAATTGTTTCACCGTGTATACAGACAGCACAAAAGATCACTTTTAGCCATCATATTTCTATTCATGCAACAACAGAGTATAGTATGAGGAGGGTTATGGAAACACCAAAATATGGTATCATTATGTATAATCATTAACTTGTTTTTCGGTTCAAATACTGTTAGACGACAAACTTCAGTAATATGAAGTACTGAACAGCTCTATTTAGTCATAATTTGAGATGCCTCGATATTGTACACCAACCAACCCATAGGGAATCTAAGTTATGATTTTCAAGTTTTACATTGTATGTGATATCTTTGACCTGCTAAACTGAAACGCAGAAATCCATATTTTCAAACTTAAACAATTCGTGTTTTAACAAGAGACTTCTTATCCAATCTCATCATTATCCAAAATGTTAGCTAATCTATTTCAAAATAAAGTTGTTTAGTGAACAATAAGTTTTGTTTATATTGACAATCAAATGTCTTACAATAACTACATTTAACTGAAGGGATTTTGTGGAGATCGGTTGAATTTGTAGATTCTATTCGTTACAGATTCCTCCCAGTTGAGATATCATTGAAAACGAGAGAGCGTTGGATGCCTGTTTTGTTCTAGTATGGGACCACTCTGTAGTGCACGTCCACGAACCTATTAAGAATTGAACCTAAGAACTTCAAGTCTCAGTACGAATACTTACCGAGTTGCCGCACTATTGAGGAATTCTACACTAGGATAAAATAGTTGTTCAATGTTTAGTAGTTTACTGTGGAACTTTAAATAAGGTATCTTTGGTGAATACATCCTACAGATAAATACGTTTGTTTGAGCTATATCATTTTTTTAAAAATGATTTCTTTAATAGTCTGAATGCTAGGATTTTTCCTTCTAATTAGATGTATACAAGCCGTTACGTCCATATGGACATGTGTATGCTATATTGGGAACCTATACAGCTAGTTCATTATTACATGTAAGATGATAAATTTTGTTGTTTTTTTTTGTGTAAATATTTATTAATTCGACCTATCCTTCGGAATAAGAAGTGGAGATCAACGGCTTGATAGAAATTTACTATAACAGAATTTTCACAGATTGAAATCATGAGTCATTTGAAGCTAGACCACCATTGAAAACGTGGGAGCACTGGATGGCCGTTTCGTCCTATTGCCAGACTCCTCAGCAGTGCGCATCCACGATCCCGCACCACGCGGGGCTCGAACGCAGGACCTACTGGCTTCGCGCGCGAGCACTTAGCCATTAGACCACTGAGCCGGCATCCAACGGTGTTAATGTCTAACTTCGACCAATCCACGAAGTTGCGCCACCATATACCATTGTCTTCAGTGAGCTGATATCTCACAACAGACCTGGTTGTACTCCACTGGTAACGGCTTCCCACTAGAACTCCAGGAGTATCTCTTGAAGTCAGTCACTAATGAGCAGATGATTATTATCAGAAGGAGTTTGTGGAGATTTTTTAGAAATTTTCACAGATTGAAATCATGAGTCAGTTGAAGCTAGACCACCATTGAAAACCTGGAAGCACTGGACGGCCGTTTCGTCCTAGTATGGGACTCCTCAGCAGTGAGCATCCACAGAATTGCAGAATGTTTATAGGTGGTTATGTCACTTTCTGATAAAAAAAGAAATTTAAACTGGGAACTTTCTAGAAAATTTGATTGAAATTTATTGACAGACAGTTTCCACGTAAACATTACAAATTAAAAACATGAATTTCTCTCTTCAACGAATTTATTATCAAGCTGTACAATCGTGTATATATATATATATATATATATATATATATATATATGAAAATCTTTCTATTAAAGTACTAATTCCATGAAGAAATGTAAACACGAACATGCAAGATGACGTAATAGAAAGATTATAATACTAGATTACGTAATACGAATAATAACAATAGATTTAGTGAATATCATAAGATGATTAAAATGTTTTTGTTACAATAATCAAAGGTCATAGAGGTGTTAAAATACATAAGGTAATATGACGAACATTTATGAACAAAATAATGAGAATATAGGACATAAGTAAAGGGGAATGTAGTAATAATAATAATAATTAAGGCCAAGGTGACGATAACGACAGGACGTACCCCTTTTGTATGCATGGTTCTGGTTTGAGCACATGGATGGTAAGAGCTTCGGCTATCTTCAGGAGTTGGATACGAAGAAATCTAGGTAGATTTGAACGGATCATATATACAACCTTAAAATCAAACTATGGATCCGTAGAATGATAACAGTCGATTAGGTTTTCAAGTATAGAACTCCTAACTGCTTTCCTCTCACCCTTGTAGAACCAGACTAGGACGTGTTCCCGTATCCGAATTGAAAGCGAGCGCTGGTTACGGCCAATGTCCCTTGCTCCATAAGAGCAGGTGAGCTGGTAGATGCACATGGAGGCGACCAGACGCGGAAGCTTATTGTAAATATGGTTACTGGGAATACTGTTTTTCGTTTCTGTAATTATTTGTTTTTTGTTCTGTATTTAGTCTTTGTTGTGTTCACATGATGTTTGTTTTTAGTTTATAAATAAGTATTCCATTATTGAAACCTCATCGTTTATAGCTAACATTAGTTATTATTCATTGTAAGTATTTCAATTTCCTAGGAGGTCAGTCATAGGTGAGATGTTTTTTAAGTATAACACTGACTGACTTGGCGTCCAAATCACATAGCATGTATTGCATGAATTTACTTAATGTTTCTGGAACATAAGTGTTAACTAACTTGAGATTTTATTAAAATGGGACTTCTCATTGATTACTTTCATTTGCCTATTTGAATGTATCATATATATTATTGTTTCATCTGCCCGAGTTTAGGTTAGGTTTTTTTCAGCAAAATAGGATAGAATATCTGATTTAGTTTGATCTTTGAGCAAGTCAGCAAATGTTTCTGTGTATACATGTAATGAATAATTACTGCTCTGTATATTTTAAATTTATATCAATTCAGGGTTTTCAAGAACTTTCTAGGTATTATCTTCGGCGGAATTGAATCGATTTACACTAAATGCCCTGGTACGGCCGACAGTAGAGGGGTCTACTTTCCCTCTCGAAATGCTCTCATATGGCCACGCGTACACAACCACTGCCAGGAAAGTTCTACTCACCCTCTTCTCGTGGCGGGGGTGTTGATTACGAAACTGAGAGGACGAAAATCGAATGTCCAGCGTTTTAACCTAACTACTCGACACGGTGGGTCCACCTAGAGGAGTTGGAAAACCTTGTTCTCAAACCAGTGGTGCACATGAACCCCCCGACCCTAAGGGAACAAATGGCGTATGAACCAATTATTAGTCACCGGCTACTATGCGATTTCATTTCCTGAAGTTGCTCCACTGCCTTACAGACCAGACGTTTAAGTCGAAGACTTCGGGTGTGGCTCTCTAAGAAAACCACTTGCTTCGGTCTGAGCACCCAGGCAGTATCACAGCCCACACACAAACAAGTGAATTGTGTGGTGCATACGTATTCGGAGCTCCTTTGCATCAATATTTATGTGTTCAGATAAATAAATATGAATATCATAAGACTGTCAGTCAACTACTTTAGACAAAATTTTCACCTTTATTCTCTAATAGTGCACATAAACGATTCTTACATTTAAGCCTGTAAGGCAAATGCCTAATATTACTTAACGTAAACTAATGTTAGTAACATTTAATTAAGTTTGGAAGTATAGTACAGTATAAAATCTATGATTTGTCTAACTAAAATGTACGACATATTTTTACTTCATTTAAGATTTCCTTTTGTTATGTATGTTACACCAAACGCTTGTAACTTTGACTCCTTAATCGACTTATAGATATCTACCAACATGTAACTGACTAAAATCAGGAAGCGTAAATGCTATAGAAAGATTAGTTCATTTACAAAGTCAAAGGTTACTTATACGGTTAAGAATATTCTTTCAGTATTCAAACACTGTAGGAAAACCCTAAAATTACTGACCAGTTAGGTACTTGGAAGACTAAATTTTCCAAAAAAATAAATGTATTGGGCTTTATACATTTCTGGAGAACTTTTTAAATACTTTGATTAACCAAAAAGTTATTTTTCACCGCTATTCATCTTTGTAGAAGTTCTTTAGAGAACACTTATTGATAACAATATATAACGACCATTTTTATAATTTCACCTTTATTTCTAGGGTTTGAATTTTCAACTTAGCGCTGTTTTATTTTCTATTGGAATCTATGCATATATTGAATATGGTAAGTATGTAAGACACATAGCAACAATGGTAGATTTCATTCATTTATCACTTTATTACCAAGCTAATTTTTTAAACGTCAACTGAACAAATCAAACAAACATGATAGATTACACAACAATCAATATCTTTTTACAGTTAAAACAACTGAACAAATATTTGGCTTTATTATTTAACCTTTCATTAATATCTATGGATTTATGAATTCCAACTTAATGGTTACTTATATAAGTTTCTTTAATTTTGGTGAAAGGAACAGCTCTTTGTAAATTTCTGATAGGCAGACTTGGTTTTGTTTCAACTAGAGTTCCGCGTTTTTTAAAAAAGACCACTCTCAAAAAGAACGTATATCTATGCAAAAGATTCTTACTTTAACCCATCTTTATGCTAATTGGCTAATAAGTGATATAATGGTTTCAAGGTCAAATTCAAAGTCTCTCAACATCTGTAGTAAACCATATTTTGGTCACCTTGTTATTCATCTTTACGATTAACAGTACACACATTATTTAAAGTTATTGTTTGTTACAACATTTGAATTAAGCATTCCTATGTTCCTTATAGTCTTTCGGGAAAAATTGGCCAAGATTCTAGATGCATGTATTGCCAGTCGTCCATGTCCTGAATCCTGTTGTCATAGTAACAAGGTAAATGCAAATTTTATAATTTATCTATCTACCTTACGTGTACCAGAATATATATATATATATATATATCCATATCCTATGAACGTTTTATGATATAAGCATATCAAAGTAATGTGTAATTCAGTAAATCTCTATAATCAGGTCTTGATCCTTAAAAATAAATTGGATTTAATTTGCGTTTTTAGACTTATGTACACCGATATAACAGTAGAACTGTAAGCTCGACTTCATTTTTTGACTAAAAAACCCTAAATAAACGAAAACGCTAAGCATGTGCAAATACTCAAAGAGTATTTTATATTTATTTCTGCAAATTTAGAAGTATAACAAAATACTGGAACTTAGGTATATATTTTGTTTGTAAGTTTGTATCTTCTATCGTTGATGATAAGGCCTACAGTAAATTAGTCTTTTTTGATATACATGAATCATGAGTGGATAACCTCGATAGTCCCACTTAACCAAAAGTTTTTATTAAGTTTGGATAATAGCGAACATAGGAAAGAAATTTAGAGTCGTTTTATTTAGCTGATGGTCACTTTGAGTGAGGAGCTCAATGGATAATGCTTCAAAGTTTAAAGCCCAGAATCTAGTAATTAGTATTGTCATACACCTACGCAATTCACTCTAAACTTTGAACGAGTAAATTGTTAATATCTTCCCTTTTATTTTATCACCTATATACTCGACCTTTTCTATTACTCAGGTGTAACATTGATCATGGTTTGTACTTATGTGTACGATTGTACATTTGTATCTATCCCGTTCCTGTATTTGTTACATGACTTTTAAAAACTGAGTCACGTTATCAATATTTAAGTCAGTGTATTATCGAACCACAATGCTTTATTTAATCACTGCATCTTATATAAGATTTTCTGCTGTGCAACATTAGCCTGTCTGAAACATACACATCTTAAATGCACTTCGCATTTTGCATTCACTAAGATATCCCGTATTCGAGTCCTAGTGTGAATATCAACACTAGAATTTTGGTTCATTCAGCTGATAAGCTGCAAGTAGGATTGACTACACATTCTGAATTTCATATCTAGTTACTATCTAATTTTATGAAAAACTTACGACATGTATATGTTCTCTGATGCCTTAGTTAACTGTATATCTTTATGATATATATAGTAAAGTTTATCTGATAAGAAAGTTTTCTATTCAGTTATTGTGCATAGATTCAAATTTAATATTTTATTCACTTGATTACAAAAATCAAAAGAATATTATCATTTGTTGGCATATTTATTTCACTTAAATTTTGTACTCATGGTTTCTAGTTGTTTGATGTTTTCTAAGGATGATAATTTCAATTTATTTTGAATTTACATTGATTTATTTAGCATGTTTGGTTTGGGAAGTTTTTCTTATTGAAAGCTTGAAAATGGAAAATGTCTCTAATCTCATCACTTACACAAAGTTTATTCCTCTATCTGATTGTTTTTAGAATTCATTCTGGGTATATTGGTGCAACATAGCCTTCAGTTGTTTGGCTATATTTCATTTGGCTTATTTAGCTGTAATGTTTGATACGAGTGAACAGCAATTTAAGGTATGATATTAAGCTTTACTTCTAAACCAGTTATATATATATATATATATATATATATATATATATATATATATATATAGAGAGAGAGAGAGAGAGAGAGAGAGAGAGAGTTCGCTTATGAAATATTCATTTCAAACTAATGATCATTGTGGGAAATTTATCCCTTTTATACTTCAACTATGCTCTCCGCCTCCCCTCCCGCCTTATAATTCGTTATAAATCTTTAATATAAACACTAAGAAACTTTTCAACTCGACGATCTTCGTGTTTACTGGATTTACTGGTCTTGATTTTATATTTCTTTGCATTAATTAACCTGTTATTATCTGTAACTTTAATCAAACTCATATAATCCCTGGTAATGGAACATACACTAATCAGCACTGTAGTTGATTATTTGTGATGTTCAACAATCCACTCTTCTATATACAATGTATCTTGATATTGGATAACTATTTTTATCGCTAAGGATAGGAGAACTCTTGTGATAATTATGTTGGAAATCAAAGTGAGTTAATTTTTTCTTCTTAGAGCTGGTAAATTGTTTGAACTTTCACCGGTCTTCAGTAGCAATAAAACCTTAGGGAAACTTATAAATCGTTTACCATGTTATACACAGTTAATATCACTTACTATTGTGTTGTAGTTTTTATTATAAAATCTAACATAATTATGATAAAATCTTTCTGCTTTTAGCTGGTGTAATGTTATTCTACGTAACTAACGATTTAAGTCAATAAAAATGAGTGAAACAATATTTATTTTTTCTGAAGACGTCCTCAGAGATTCTGGTAATTATCTAAACGAGTTTTCAACCATATATTTCTGTATATGAACATAACAGGTCCAACCCTAATACAACTCAAGTTTGAAAGGTGTGAGGTCATAGGTCCCATTGATTTCATTTGTTAAAACAATTGTAATATTCCATTGAAATCATGAACTGGTTGATGTTAGACCACCATTTAAACCTGAAAGTAATCGACGATCGATTTGTCCGAGTATGGGACTCATCAGTAGAGCGCATCCACGATCCTGCACTTTGGACTCGAACCCAGGACCTTCGGTTTCACGCGCGAACACTTGATCCTTAGGTCACTGAAGCGGCATCCAACTATGTTAATGCCCTAACTTCAATCAATCCACGATATTGTGTAGCCAGCTCGCATTCATCCAGTGCTTCTAGGTTTTCGATAGTGGTTTAAAACTGATCGGTTCATAATCCTAATGAAACTCAACGATCTCCACAATCGTGTACAAATAATTATAATATCCTTGATATGTTGAAAACTGTTGACTTCTGAATATAATTACGTGTAGTCTATTTATAGCCTGACACAAATGTGCATCGGCTCAAGTTGCCACATCACATCATCACGATGAAGTGAAAGTAACAAGACGAATGACAAAAGACTTAAAATAATAGTTAAGAGGGTCGATCATTATTTGTAATTCTAATAGCAACAATATCTCATCGAATCTATGCTAAAATTATCATATTTCCATATAAAATCCCTATTGATTTACCTATAGTGTTAAATATTGTTTCCGAATTATAGTCTATTTAAATATTTTTTACTGAATTATAATTCACACTACTTATTAATTTCTCATGACTATTTTTTTTCTTTCAACAGGGTTATAATATGTGGCATACTATGGATAAATGGTACAATTTAGGATTTCTCAGTCATATTGTAGCCTTTGCAAATTTCTTATTTTATTTATATTTATAAATAAATATCGAATAAGCTATGTATTTATTTGTAGAGAATAAAACATTTATCTATCACAACTAAACGTATGCAAAATGTATTTTCTTATCGCTCACTCAGCATGTATTTCTTAATAATAATGAAATGAAAGTTTATTTTGCTTTCAAGTATAAACAACAAAGAAAGGTATTATTGATGAGTTGATGAGTTTTGTACATGTACATGATCTCTAATGAATTTAGGTTTTTAAAATCATATAAATTCCTTTCTCTCTGACATTGATTTAATTAAAGAGTTGTTATTTAAATAATGTTCTCAAACTACTATTCTCAGACTACTATTTGCCTTGGTTTTATTTTTGTTGAGAAATGTTTTATCGGCTAGTCAAAATGGAGTCATGTTCATGGGAATTGAATAATATCTTCTAATGTAATAATTATCAATTCAGGAAACTAGTTTAGGAAAGAAACTCTGAATAAGGACTAGACAAGCATGACATTGATCACCACCCAGTGATCAATCAATTGTGATTACATCTCAGTCCTACAGGAGGTTAGTCACGGCTCGGACAGCTCAGTGGTAACGTCTCCGACTGTGAAGCTGGGTGACACGAGATCGAACCCGCCAGGGAGCACCAGTTCCCTCAAAATTACAGGTACACCTTGCTGACGAGTGCCAAGTAGCACGAAACCCGGGTCCAGGGTTTCCTGTTGACTACCTCCAACCACCATCTAAATCTGCATAACCTTCCTAAAATAAGTTTGGAAGTTCAAGCATTATTTCATTATCTCAAAAGTATCCCATTCAGATTATCCAAACAATATCTATATTACTTATTAGTTTCAGTGTGTAGAGGGCTTAAACATCTACCGCTTGATAGATTTTAAAAGTTTACTAATCTTCGATTCCGAACCGAAAGTTTGAAATGTGGTAGCTGCTTTATCTTTAAACTTAGTTTGCATAAATAATGTAGGGGTATATATAAGGCTAGATATGATCTTGAGACTCTAGGCACCTCTAATAATTAGTATTGAACTCAGAAACTGAGCAGTTAGGTTAATAAAAACAGGATCAGTCGTTTTCTAGATTTCTCTTAAAAGTTTCTAAAGACAACTTCTAAGTCAAAGTATTTTTATCACTTGCCTGACTACTGGAGACAGTTACGAGGAATTATCAAGGTCTCCTAACACTTTTATCACATTTTTCAGTTAACTTTACCATTATCTATTAGCAATATGAATCCTGCTTTGTCCATTTCAATTTGGAAAGTTCTTTAGCTACAGCAGCCTTTACACATTAGTTCAATCGAAGGGATTTGTATATGGCTGTCTGGTACATTTACGAAGTGAATAACTAGATATCTAAAATCACAACAAGAGAACTTACTATTTGTTAACATTGGATAATTAAGTAGTACTTCTATTTTTTAATGATTTGTAATATTAATTTAACTTGCAATGTCATAGATTTCTCGAAGTCATTAGTTCAATGTCCTCTAGGAATATCGAACATCCTATACCATTCCATAATGGTTCCCTACATTTATATGTCAAGTTGATTGAATAGTCCGGCGTAATTTCAAATTATTTATCTTCCGCTTTACAAAACTTACTCCTTGAACATAGTGATATCAAGTAAAACAATAGGCATCACAATTGTAGGGAAATATAAATTGTTCTTAAAGAAGTTACACTTATATATTCTCCATTTTAGTTCATGTTATACGATATTTTTATCTTTGATATGACAAAATTTCATCCCATAGTAGTTTTGAAAGTGGTCTCTCAGCTACACTAAATCCGTTGTAATTATTAATTTGATATAAATAAAATTTAAAAGGCTTTCTTCCGTTTTCATTTGTTTTTCTTTGTCTGACCACTAAATGTCATTAGTGTGAGATGTCCTTCGGGGAGTTACTTTCAATCAAATCGTATTTTAATTAACATTTTGATCGGACTGTAATCTTATCTAACAGATATTGAACTAACAAAATATTCAGACATTTTATTATTTGAGAGTTTACTTTTTGCAAGTTGATCATTCATACGCAGAAATTACATGTCAAGGACATGTAAGGAGTCAGTCAGGCACAACATAGAACCTGTATGTATGTACATCAATTCAAGTTGCTATACCCCATTTTCACAGAGAGATGAAATTGTCAGACCAAATTCAAGAATAATAGGGGTAATATCAGTATCATTGGCAAACTAAATTCGGAAAATCCATTTAACCTAGAGAAAGCTATTCATTCTTAGTTAATTAGTCAAAATCCTTTCTTTGATTGTAACGGTAAAACTCTCACTAACCAGTAATTCCATAAAATTATAATTATAAAGGTGTAATTACGTCGAAGATTAGTTCTTTTTTCGTTCATTGACAATTTTTCTTAAATAATTCAGAGTACTTACATTGCACTGGGTAGTATACAATGATCTATAACAAGTTAAAGTTGAGGTAAATTTAAATATGATCATCAAATCACTATCTAAAATGCCATTTAAGCAACCAAGTCATTAGTGTTCAGTTAAACAACGTACGATCAAATGGTGTTTAAAAAACTACTTACAACTCTATTGTGATTCCGAACAGGAATATTTCTAAACCTGTACTAATGGATTTCCGAAACTATTATAGGTTGATTTTCTTATTGGAGAACTGATAGAAAACCTTGACAAACTTACAAAATACATGATATTTTAACGGCTAATTTTTCATATCATAATATCGATTCAAGCGTTAAGCAGATACTGTTCTAAATAGCATCAAATTCAGTTTCTTTAAACATTTATGTTCAGATTATTTCACCAAACAGTTTTACATACCAAAATGGTCTACGCAAAAATAGAAATAAAAAACTTGAGTAAACCGGTCTGCGATCTGAAAGCTTACAGTGTTATAACATTCATTGATTTAGTTAATAACTCATCAAAAACTGTTTGTTTGCTTTTTTTTAGTACGTTTAGATACGTCAAAATTTTCGTAATACATACTAATAGAGTGATTCACATTTCTTAATAGAAACAATTGACTGTCAAATTCGTACTTCATAAGAGTTTGTTGATGTTTGGCTTCTAAAATAAAAAAAAGTGTTATCAGTGAGATTTCATTAGCCGTAGTGTTTCTTTTTTATGTATAAACTTGCTCTAGCTTAGATCAACTGTGAAGTCTACAATCTCCACGAATACTCATACTAATAATAATCATATGCTCTTTTGTGACTAACTTTAGGATGGAACTCCTGGAGTTCTAGTGAGAAGCCGTGACCACTACAATCCGTGTCGGGTGTGAGATAGTTATTCAACTCAGACAATAGATAAATAGCTGCTCAAGATCATGGGCCGATTGAAGTGTGACATGAACATCGTTGGTTGCCGGCTCAGTGGTCTAAGGGTTGAGCGTTCACGCATGAGACTGAAGGTCCTGGATTCGAGTTCCGCATGCGGGAACGTGGATATAAACTTATGAGGAGTCCTACACTAGAACTAAACGTCCGTTCAGTGGTGGTCTTGCTTTGATCGACTTGTGAATTAAACTGTGAAGATACCACAAATCCCCATACTGTTATAAATATTTGTTCATTACAATACTCATAAGTGAAGTGAGAATCCTATTCACAGCCTTTAGCACATTATAAACTATTTTACCCGCAATTTTCGGATATGTCATCAGTTGGCCCTGGGTCATATCCAGTCCCCTAGGGCAAGAATCAAGGCCAATACACAGTGACAGACCGGTTGAATCGCCGGCAACAGAACGAACTATGAAAAAGATGCCGAGCCGATATATCTTCTCTCATTGTCAGATCCCAACGCTTCACTACCAAGTCTGTGGTCTGACTAAGACCGTGGCCGGGTAAACCCTCCAGTCAACCTCTCGGTCGACTTGGACGGGCAAAAGCAGACCTTAATTGGCTCCCTTGGCTAGAAATGTTGGATTCGCCAAGTGAATGTGAATCTCTTACTTCATGAATCCACTTCAGAAATGGGCCCGTATTTCATAGATAATCACTAACCTTTCCCAATGAAGTTGTTCTCCAACTTCACCCTTCGAGTAACCAAATGGGCCCTAGGCGGTGCAAGAAATCCGTCCCGGGTAGGTATGTCTACCTGTAAGTTTATACTCAGCCAGTCCTCATGAACAAGGAGGTTCCGGACGACTCCAGCAAGGGGGCTGGGTACACCGAGCCCCCCTTTGAAAGACGGCCAGAGCTATTCCCATATAAACAGAACAAGAAGAGATAATATCACTCCCTCATTCCAGCCGATGGCGGAACCCTGAAGCGCACCATCATCTGCGCTACTGGAGACCCACACCAGCAATACATGGCACTCCGTCGAAACCTAACCACAGCACAACGTTGCTGGCAGAAACCACGAAGAGGCAGTCGCTAAGCAACCGTGACCCCTAAAAGGCCCACGACGAACCTTAAGAGAATCATAGTTACTAAATGCCTTTTATTCTTATTTTCAAGTTATTGTAAACTCTTCACAACCTTTATAATTATCATAAATTGTATATTGGCTGTTTTCAGACTTCCCTTAATTACTAACTCACCCACATTTCCCTATGTTTTTAAACTCTATTCCCGAATGACCTGACACCTGTTTTTACACATATAAATCTATAAATAATCATTATTAATAATGCTTGTTATTCCGAGTCTTTCCGTTATCAATGTCAATTTCACATTATATCATACCCCAGTGATTCATTTTAATACATATATGGTTGAAAGCGGCTAATGAGAAGCTGTGAAATACAGTGAATTCATATCATTCTGCATCAACTCTTTTTTGGATTCATCCGGAAAAATAACAAATTATGGAATTACCTTGCAACTTTTGAATTAATAATTGGTAAATTTGTAACACTTCTCCAGGTACTTGAAGTTGATAACAATGATGTGACCTTATTGTCCGATTTATTTCGAACCATACCTAAACGTATTACTTTTCTGTAGGAAGGATTCTGTTGTTTTTTTGCTGTTTTGAATGAATCTGAAGATATATTTGGCAGACTCTTTCTAACAATCACATTAGTTGAACCCCGTAACTAAATATTATTCAAAAGTAAACGTATAGAGAGATTTATTTATGTAAAATTTATGGATTAGGAGAGGCATATTTTGTTCATCTCTCATTACGTCATAGCAGAAACACTTTCATGAACACGTGAAACACAGTAATTCAAATTCGACCTCTCTAGTGAGAACCAGATAGTAAACCAATAAGAACTTATCAACACATAATATAGACTGGAATCATTTGAGTAAAATTGGAGAGAATTTAACAGCTTGAAATAGCCTCGTATATTCAGTATAGCCACGTACATCCACTTTTAACATTGATCATCCACAGGTCACCTTGAACAGACATACCACAGTATGATTGAAATATCTTAAACCGAATGGAAATATTCCATCCAACCTATCGATTTATTACTGTATGGAGATTATTAAATTTTACCGTTTGCAACACGGACTAGATTTAATCAGATGTTAGTAGCCTACCAGTGACTGGAAGAAAGTTTTGTGAAGTGGATGAAGTTGGATGTTTTCACTCAGATGTTGGTTCAGTGGTCTAAAGGTAAAACGTCCACTGCGAGACTTGGAGGTTCCTAGTTAGATCTACAAAGGGATCACGGATACACTCCACTATAGAGTCCCATATTAGAGTTAACTAGCTGTCTGATGCCTTCTGCTCTTTAATGATTATCTAACCAATAAAGTCCACCAATTAACTTAGTAATCCAAACATAATTTTCATTATGATGTAGAATTATCTGATAAAGAATCAGAGTAGTCAAGGAGCAATGAACAAGTGTTTTGTTCAACTTTATGATTTATCACGCCAAGATAGCTCCCGATATCTGAGCAAACTCGTGAGTTTGAGATTTCACTGCTGTCTTGGTGACTCTAAATAGATTATTCACACCGTTCCAGAGTAGTAAAGAACAAATACATTAAAAGTTACTATATTTGCGATGACCTTAGAAACTGAATGAATGTTTGGAGTTAGTGCATAACTAGCTGCATAACGACGAATAGTTAACAGAAACTTGGCTTAAAATTCATATATTTTCTGTTATTCATTTTCAAGAAGTGTGTAAAATGGTGATGAATATCTGCAATACAGATACATTAATAAAGAATATTCTTTTTAAAAATTTCTCTTCGAGTTCTCCAGTTGTGCACTGAACTTGGTAATCAAAAGAAATTGTCTACTCTGAGGGAAACACTTTACTAATCGCAGTTTATAACTTTATGATTACCGTTAGAAAAAGTATGTCTCTGTGAATATTGAAATGATTAGCGTCCAGCATATACCTTAAACCGATTGTAAAAAAGCGAAACCGTGGAAATATCAGATGAGGTCATTGTAGATGATTGGTGGCCTAACTAAAACTTGATCTTTTTCAGTGTCATCTCTTGCCTTTCACATATTGGATCAATACCTCCTATTTGAATACAAAACGTTGTATGTTTAATCTTTTTTCATATAATTCATATTAATGGTCCTTCCACTTATTTCTTATTCATCCCTTTAATTTCACTATGATGTGGCAACATCCATTGATTTACGTCTATCGTGGGACTTATATCAGTTATGACTGATATTTGGGGTATAAATCAGTAAGTTGTCCTTTAAGCCGCAGATAACCCACTTAAGACGGAGAAATTTCCACTACTTAATTAACTTCATGCTATCTAGTACACATTACTTCGATTTATATAACTCTTGTAACACTAATCTGATGAGTGTAGTCATTCAACCAACTATAGTCGAAATTTCCTCTTTTTTCTATATTACTACAGGTCTTTTATCAAAAGGTCCTAGAGGTTATGAAAGTTTTACAATATTAGTGCCTAATTCCTAAAATTTTGTCTGAGTGAATCCCAAAAGAAATACATGTTCATTTACTAAGGTTTAATCTGTTATGAACAGAAGTTCTACCCACCTCTCCAAACCAAACTCACTGGCATATGAACAAATTAATTACTACTCCATGTTGTGAGTATTTGTCGTCAACGTTAGTCGGTTATAATTAAAGCTTTTGAAGAGAGTTGATAGCATAAACTTTTATGATCAAAACATTATTTAAAAGCATTCATAACTTCTGCAATCATTATGAAACTCACAAATCGCGAATAGTGATCCAAAATGTTGTTTACATCTTTTTTAGTATACCCTTTGTTAAATGGGATAAGGATACCCTACAATGTAGAGATATATACCATATTATTCTGTTTATTTAATCAAATTTGAATTTACCTTCCATTGGATTTTTTCCAACATATACGGTCGATGTGAGATAGGTAGACCAATTTTCACTCTCAATAACTTATGATGATGACCATGATATGCTTCAGTGTAATTATTTATTAGTAAAGATAAACTCTAAAAACGAGCATAAGAAATCAATTTACGGTTATTAAAAACAGTTTATAAAAATATGATAACTTTTATTACTGGGAAGTTAAGCGGTTTATACATCAGATTTTCTCGTCGACTCAACCCCAATGCACCAAATAAACCACTTGAGTATATTCCAAGCACGACGTGTCTAAATACTTTACCATTGAATTCAGAAACGAAGGATATTGTAAAACGTTTTAGGTATTCTTGACCTTGTGTGAGAAAACTTGAAAATGAACATAAAAGTACGTAAAAATCGTTATGTACACAAAAATACATTCACTTACATGGCTAATATTGTTGCCTCTAGACATTTTATAGGGAGTGAAGCCAACATTATCATTTTTACAACCTCCTCAAGTCTATACAGTCAAAATAACGAACATACATTCAAATAATTTATAGTAGGTTTGGTCGAACGGATTTACCTAACAATAGATGCACCTCGATTTATTTGGAAGAACTGCATTCCAGTATAATTGTATCTATATTTTTGAACAAACAAATAGCTTGTCATAAGAATAAACAACAACACAGGTTCGTTTGAATAAAACAGAAATTTATGGCACAAGTTGCAAGAGTATGACATGTTTACTTCTAAACTTTTGATTAACATACACTGAATACACCATTTGAAGTCAGTTTTGTTAACAAACCACTACTGTGTACATACGAAAATCATAAAGATCTTACGTCAAGTGGATAATTCTACCTTTACATCCTGATTTCAAGTTGGAGAAGTAGCTGATTGTAAATGCAAGCATTTTGCTAAACATAAAATATCTGTAGAAAATAGAGGTACATATTCCCATACATGTCATTTAGAAATGATTAAGTCTGTTAAAAAAACAGTTCTTACTAAAATTGTTTGATAAAACTGAACATAACAGAAGTTTGGACGATTATAATTAACCTTGTATCCCTCGATCCAAGTTTACGTTCAACCTTTTGCACATACCATGGAAAGTGTTGAATATAAGAATGAGGAGTTAATATTATGTTTAATAAGGACGTGAAATAGTATCAGTATATTCCAAAAGTATGTCCAGTAAAACAGCTCAACATCATCACCCTCAGAAAATCTGGGTATTCGTATAATATACCATTTCCAAATGTACCATATCTTGTATAAAAAATTAGGAATAATAACCACAATATCAAGCTCAAGAGGAGAAAACACAATTAAGGTACTGAAATATCGAGGTTCAACCAAAATTACATATTTTTTAAAGCAAGGAGAATATCAAAATAAAACACATTTAGATACATATCAAAACAGAATAAAATAGTTAAAACATCGTACTCAAGACTGTTGAGGTAATTTTGTACTTTACTTAAAAACATTTCTGCTGTTTCAATTTTATCCACCCTGAATTCAGGAAGCTTCGTAAACATTATGAAGACATGAATAATTTACAGGCATTTTGGATATAACGTGATCTTCGAAAGATTCATATAGATCGGCGATCTGCTTTTTACAGTCGCTGTTTTGTTTTAAACAGAAATCGAACATTGATTTCCAAGTTTCTGCGTTAATAGGAAACCCACTTCTATTTGTAAGGAAAGGGACATAATCATACATTTTGAAAATGTTGTTCTATCATCACCATGATTTTAATGACTCAAACAAAAAGACGTGTTTCTTTTAAATCATACAATTATTATTTAACAGAGGATTCGAAAAGAATGGTTCACAAATATATGTATATATATACCTCAAATATAATTATTGTGTTAGGGAGTTTTAATTGTCAACTAGAATAAAACCTGCTAAGGATGGATGAAGATTTTTTTCATTCAAATAACTTTGTGACAAGCCAGTGTAAGCCGATTGATTTCTCTGCGTCCGCTTATTTGCGTTGTGGCCAAACTACAATCCGTTATTAGTTGGTCAAATCAATAGATTTTAATAGTACTTTTACATCCCACAATTTATTGAGTTATCTTAGTTTAGTGTATTACCGTGCTAATATTGGAAAAGTGAGGTTGCTGGAATCAGTGAGACCCTATTAGTCGGCAAAAAACTATCTGATCTTGGTTATAATCAAGATAAACTAATTTATCAATTAAATATATGAATAACATGTATGAAACATAAATAAGCAGAGGTGGCAATCTACAAAGTGAGAGGTATGTGTTATCAATCATAATAATATATGCGAAAACTTATGATGATAAAAGCGATGAGAATACTGAGTAAAGCCGCCAGAAATGCAGTAGGATGAACAACCAATTCTAAGAGATTAAAGATGCCACATGTATCCGAAGTTTGACAACGCTTTTACCAGTAACACCTTTACGATCAAAGTATACCAACACGCCCAAACCATTAGTCGGAAATGTAGGGACTTGAAAATATATCTGAGACGTTATCGATGTGTCCAGTGTGTACGAACTCTACCCTGGTGCAGATCGTCGATCTGTCTGGCTCTGACTTTGATGAATCCACATTGGGCTTCACCAAGTGTTATTTTTTCCATATTCTCCCCTAGTGGTGATTCTACTCCCATAACAGCCTGTGACAGTTTATTGAGTGCCTTGACAGTTTGTGTTCTGGAGTGCAGATAATTTCTTCATAATGCTTCTGTGCTATAAGGTGGATGTCATTACAGCCTAGTCGTACTATGTTCCTGTTGTATAAGTGCTCGGTTGAGTTGTTTGAGCACCAACTATGTCTACCGTTTCTAAATTGATAAGATGATTAGTCCCTTTAGTAGAAAAGCCTAAATAGTATGTGAGGTTCATCTTTGAAACGCGGAATCCACATGATGCCCGTATTTAAGGCTGTACATTTCCGTTTTAATGTGACAATTGTGTTTTTATGCGATATATTTTTGTTGTCCTACATCAACAGCAAATCACTCGTCATAACGCATAAGTTCAGCCGGCTAAGCAAGTTTACTACAAATTTTGTGACCGTAATCATGCTTGTAAATTAGCATGCCCGACGTAGCTTATGGTTTGTGAGAAGAAATTGTTTTTATAGTTTCTGAGCGATTGGTCGAAACACAAAGTATTTGATCAACTTCCACTCACATCTTGTGTCAGACTATCATGTGTGGATATGGACTGGGAGAAGGCAAACATGTTGACTGTATGACCAGACTTAACTAGTGCTCATGTCTCTTAACCATCGTAGAGAAGCATACGCCATCCACCAAACTTGTAGCCGAGCTCCGTCCTCGAGAATCTTTTCCAACCCTTTCCTGTTGTCATTCGTCGTTTCATGTGTTTTCTGATCACCGACGGAATATGTTTCTCGTTCTTCCTTTTTTCTGTTTCGCTTCAGGATTTCAAGTTAGTGATTGACTCGCGTTACAGTTCGGTGATTTTCAAAATGTATGTATAGTCCACTTCCAACGTCTTTTACTTATTTCCTCTTCAGATGAAAGCTGATTCATCCACCACCAAATAAGGCTGTTATTATTATTATTATTATTATTATTCACAAACATCTTATGGGTACATAAGTGTTGTGAAGAAACCATTTCGGGTTTCTTCAGAAAATGCAATTATACACAATTCTCAATAATGTTAGCATTATACTTGCCATATTTAAAAAAAAATAATAATAATGAAAATAAAATAGATAATTGAGAATAATAATAGTAGAGTATTAATAATAATAAATGGGGTCTTTGTAATTGAGAAGAATATTGAATTGGGTTTAAAGAAGGAAATGGAGAAAATAAGAGAATAGAAATAAAGGAGACATGAAATACGCAAACAGTCTAATAAGCGTGTTTATGAACACAGAACAAGAATAAACGACTATGTGTGTATCGTTAAATTAGTAAGAAAAAATAATTAAGAAAAAATAACTTATAATTGCAGTAAGATATGACGCTAGAATATAAATGTCTGTGCAGTCACATAGTTTGGAGTGATGCTATGAAAGTCTCAATTAAATGAAAAAGGTAATAAAATATCTATGTGTATGAGTAGTCATATATGCATAGTGAAGATAAAACACAAGTTATTGTCTTAATTAAAAACTTCGTAGTCTTAAGAATATTTATTTAGAGGGAAAGAAAAGAGAAAAGAAGTGAACACCTAGTGAAAAGTTTTGATCCATGATAAGAATAATAATTGTGTAATGAATATCAACCTCAGAAGGAAACCAACAATTTAGAAAAATGAAATAAAAATCCTTCAATGCACTCGGATGAATACATTTAGATTTATGTAATAATATACAGGGTGAAACCGGATATTAGTATAAATATTTCAAAGGACAATTTGGAGTTAAATATGTTTAGAAGGGTAAGAAGATACAAAAAGAATATCTAATGTGTCGGGGAACTAATAATGATAACAATAACGGTAATAATGATAAAACACGAACATAATCAGACTTCATATATTAAGATAAAGAGAAATAAAACAAAATAGACGTGAAAAGATTTAAAGGTTTTATTTTGCTTTTCAAGCAATTAAATAAATGACGGACCTTGTTTGTATAAATCATTATTGAATACATTGATATTCAATAGGTGGCATAATCCACTTTCGGAAAGAAAATCGTCAAGGAGACTTTTGAACCGGGTTGTAGTTTCACTGCAACGGAGGTTCACTGGCAGTCTGTTCCACATGGTTGAGTAGCGAATAAGGAAAAAATTCTGACGTAAGTTTGTGTGGGTTCTTGGAATCGCTAGAATATTCTCCTTATTGCGTAGATTGTGGGACGATATTATAAGGTATGAAGGGGTAGATACCGATGAGTAGGAAATACCGTTAATGAGCCGGTAGATAAAGACAAGATTTAATTTGATACGTCTGATCCAAAGAGGTTCTAAGTTGAGTTGTTGACATCTTTGGCGATAGTCTTTGTTATCGGAATACCCCAGAAGAGCTTTGGTGAACTTTCTTTGAACACCTTCAATTCTAATCAGATCATTATGTCTACAATTACTGTAAACTAAAATACCATATTCAAGAATGGGCAAGACACATTTTCTGTATAGTAACAATCTCGATTCGATATTATTGAAGTTTATCATTATCAATCCGATGAGCTTTCTAGCTTTGGATACTTGAGATATAATGTGTTCAGAAAAGTTCAGACTATTGCTATATCTTAAACCCAGGTCACGAACAGTGTTGAGAGGTTTGAGTGTATGTGTCTGTACAGTCAGATTTAAGTTAAGACAGCGACCAATATGAATAAATCCGCTTTTGTCAACATTAAGTGGCATATTCCACGAAATAGTCCATTCGTACAACTTGTTTATTTCCTCCTGGATTATCGCAGAAATATAGCTTTCTTTCGTGGGAGAAGAGAATGAATATACTACTTTCAGGTCATCAGCAAAAAGGAAAGGCTTACCATACTGAAAGAGGGAACACACATCATTGATAAAAAGGAGAAAGAGCAATGGACCAACCACACTTCCTTGTATAACCCCACTGGTTACATTTACAGGTTTAGAGTAGCAAGATCCATAGCGAACGATTTGGCTACGTTCTTCTAAAAAAGATTTGAGCCAAGATAAAAGGGGATTCTGTATGCCAAATGAAGAGAGTTTTAAAAGAAGAAGTTTGTGTGAGACACTGTCGAAAGCTTTACTAAAATCGAAGTAAAGAATTATCACTGACTGACCAACATCTCTTCTCTGGGTAATTTGATCAAAAAACTCCAGGTGGGATGTGAAACATGAGCGTTTAGTCATGAACCCGTGTTGGGATGGGCTGATCAGACTAGCTGAAAGTAAAAATGATAGTAGCTGTTTGTGAATGATTTTTTCCATGGTTCTTGAGAGCACGGATGTCAAATTAATTGGCCTATAGTTAATAATATCACTACGTGGTCCTGTTTTGAATCTAGGGGTGATAAGGGATGTTTTCCATGCAGATGGATAGGTCCCATATTCCATAGACAGATTGAAAAGTTTCAAACAAAATAGTGGAAATTCTTTACTTCCATATTTCACAAATGATGTAGGTATCCCGTCAGGTCCACCATCATAAGACTTTTTCAGGGTAGTTATGGCCTGCTTGATGTTGGAGGGTGTGAAATCAATTTTCGACAGATGTCTGGATGTTAGCATTGGAAATGAAATGATGGAGCTTTCAGTTCTAGTCTTGTAGCACTGCGAGAATTTCTTGCTGAATTGTTCGCATATAGTATTCGGGTCGTTAACAATGCTTCCGTTAACTATGAAGAATTTAGTCGTGCCAAGGGAATTTGACTTTACACGGGATTTAAAAAGTCGAAGTATTGATAATTCTGGGCTTTTACTACGTAGAGCTTTATTTTCTATATTCATGAAATACTTAAGTTTAGATGAAGCATTTCTGTCGATTAATTTAAGTATACTCTGAAGTGCATACACATCATTCTGTTCATAGTAGCGGTATTTTAATTTCCTCAGCTTTCTTTTAAAAGTATTTTGGCCCCTATTAGCATTATAAGCCACACGGCCAATAACTGGAGCAGTGCAGTCAAGACAATATATCAGGTTGTGATATAGATTGGAAAGCGCAATGTCAACATTATTTGTGGTAAAATAAGTTTCCCATGGTAAACATCGAATGAGAGTTTCAGTCCGTTTCCATGTTTGTTGATCAAAATATCTGCTCTGGTACGTCGTTGAAGTTTTAGAGTTC